TTTGGCACACGCACCCGCCCTATAGTTAAAACCTCTCAAAAAAAAAAAAAAAAAAAAAAACAGAACTTCCTCGGTAATGTTTGTGCTTTCTTTGTTATTTTCCATTTCTGTTAATTTTTGAAATGATGTATATTTTTAATAAATTAATAGTAAGTTAATGCAACCATTCTCCCAAGATGTAGAACATTTGACTTTTGACCATGTAGAATATCAGGTGCCTATGGGATGTGCAGGTAGAAAAGTTTACTAGTCTAATAGAACCTATAGATCTAGAACATAGGTAAGAAATCTGAAGGATTTAAAATGGCCTATTATTTATAGACTTTTAAGTTCCAAAGAAGAACAGGCATTTCTGTAGTTGCAAGTTATTAGTGTATTTGATTTAATAGAATCACCACATATTTCTTGTCACCTCTGAATTTATCCAACCTGGATAGATTTAACTTGAAGGAAATTCAATGAAACTCACAATTGCCTTTATGTACATAATACTCAAATTCAATATGTAGAACTGAAATAATAATCAATTTTGGAAAACTGATGTTGTGAAATAAATATTGAACATAAAACTGAATACACTTAAGGTAAATTTACATGTGATTTAGAGAGACATGTTTATTATCACAGTTTATTCAACCATAAAAAAATCTATTGCTTCCCCTTTTTATCAGTAATACTACACTGACACTTCTAAGGGCATAGACAGTAATAATTAAGTGTCATATTCCCTTTGTGGATGATGGTGCAGATAGAATTTCCTTTATAAGCCTGTATACACATGGTGGAAAATATTTGTTGTACTTTTAAAGAAATGGCAAACAAAGAATACTGCAACACGTTACTTTTCACAATTAAAAATGAAATGGATCTAATATGTTTAAAGGAATTCCACAAAATGAGAACCACTGACATGACAAAAGCGTGCATTTAATTTGATGCTTTGCAGAGATACATGACCAAAGTTGTGTGCATGGCTTGTCCTTTGGGATGGTCCCAGCTGTTTATTTTTAAAGAAAAAATAAAAACGGAGCCAACAAATGCAATTTAAAAAAAACTTAAGACACAAGGGCACCTACATGTTTTGATCTAAGAAACATGCAAATTATTACAAAGCACTCCAGGTACAGTATGACAAAGAAACAGTGAAAGAGTACTGGAACAATGGGGAAATTTAACAGTTATGTTTTCACAAATGGTACTGATGAAATCATCTTTTATTTTTAAAGATTTTTATAGAAAGAATTTTAGCACCATCAATAAAGGAAAAAAAAATAATTTTAGCCCTGCCTATCTCCAGTCTTGGAATAATAACAGAAGCATAGCACCTTTTAGTATCTAAAAATATAAACAAGAATATTAAGTCCATCCCAGCTTCTAGAGATGAGGTAGCTCATGCTATAAAATGTTGGGTCATTTTTCCTATGGAAGTTCAAAGGCCAAATAGTCAAATTCCAATCATCACATTTGATTAGAATCAGCTTCACAACTCTGAGTTTCTAGAACTTTTTCTTCATTATAGGCTTCAGGATGAAGAGATTATACATGTAGAAGAGTCTCAACTTTGGGTCCTGGACAAGTGTTTATGAAGTAGTATGTGTAAATCACTTTGCATTCAATGTCTTCTTAAATAAGAAAGTGCAAATGTATTAAATGGTATACTTATGTAACTTCTATCTGTATTGATAGATTGAGTCGAGAGGGAAAAGATACCTTTAATTTGAATGAGAAAGAAATCTAAACTTACTACTTCTTACAAAATTTAAGAAGTGGAAGTAATTTTGCTTGGTTCTTCTGAAATTCCATTGACTCTACATTATTAAATTTTATTTAAGGCAGTGAGACACTGGCATTCTGAAATTCCATTGACTCTACATTATTAAAGTTTCATTTAAGGCAGTGAGACATTGGCATTTTTTTTTTTTTTAAGATTCTCTTTAAATAGTCTCTACAATAGTTTACACTACCAAGACACAAATGTGGGTTTCAACTAAAAAGTTAAGCATTTCAATTCATTTTTTAATTGATACTCTGGGAATGAGAGGTCACAAAAGGATATTCACTACTTTTCAAACTGCGGCAAAGCAAAATAAACATGTGTTGTGGTTGTATATATTCCACTCTGTAAGCTACCTGCCAGAAGAAGAATTTCCTCATAAATACTAAGCAACTTTTTCATTACACTGAAATAAACTGGGGGAGGAGGGGGAAAGGAGATTTATTTATTTAATCAATCACTTTACTTTCTTTTTAAGGTGGTCTTTGTCATCAGTCATCTTAAACCCAAACTGCTGTATTGAAAAATATTTTAAATCAATTAAAACTTGAGGACCATAAGTAAAATAAATATTCTGAAGGATAAGGAGGCCAGGCACTTAAGACGATATATACAATGCTGATAGAGGATCAGCCATTACTTCAAGAGTCTCAGGATCAACTTCAAACAGTCAAAGTTCTTGTGAATGGTGGTGGTCGTTGAAGGTGGTGCTCATTGTTGATGTATGTTGGCTTACTTTACACAAAACAAACTGGTCCAATTTCAATGCCAAATTCCTGGTCTGTGTTGCCAACATCCACAGGGGCAAGATCTATGATGGGCAAGCGTGCCACATTTTGTGTTCTATATTCAAAGACAGTCTTGCCCACATTTCCATTTCGCTTCTGAAATTAGATAGTGCAACATATTAACAAGAAATACAAAAGTTTTCAAGGTTGCTAGACATCAACACTCCCCTGGACAACTTTTATAATATATGAGCAATAGTTTTTTAGCACTATTCCAAAGTAAGAGCACTGATAACATAATGTACTAGCATACCTCTCACTATACATAGCATTTCTTTCATGCTTTAAGAGTAAATTCCCTTTGTTCTTTTTCAGCTTCCCAAGTGATTATTACCAACATAAGTTCTGAAAATTATTATTTTGCACAAATAAGACTAATTCATCATTAAAACCTCTACCAAGCTTCATGTGCTAATAATAAGCATTGAGTTTACACTAAAGAACAACTATTATATTAACAAATTGATGGGGGCCAGCAGGTAGTGTAGTGGTTAAGGCATTAAACATGAATGATTCTAGTTTGAGTCCAGATCCAGCAGCTTGAAACTCATGCTGGGTACATCTGTGTACATACCCAAAATCCCAGGAGGAAAATGGAATGGGAAGGGATTGTGGCATGCCATCCATCAGGGAGGATGATTTCTCACTTTCCTTCTCGCTGATTTCTCTCTCTCTGATGAGCACACATGCCTATGGCAAAAACCTCTTAAAAAATGCTGTGCTCTTATATAAAAATGAAATTGCCTCTAATTATAGTGCCATGACAGTATTTTTAAGAAAAACAAATGTCTTACTTCATTCAGATGAATGTACAAAGATCAAAAGGTACTTACGGAGCAAGTATCTTGGAGAACTATATATCTGAATCTAATGTTTCCTTCTGCCTTGATGTCTAAGTCATTAGCTCCTTTAAGAACCACTGCTTTCTTGAGGTTCTTAGCTTGATCATCCATGTATCCTACACTGTTTTTACAGATGTAAGTAATGTTCTGGGAGGCTTCTTTGGACAAAAGGCGCAAGAAGGTCATCTGAGTGATGGCTGCATTGGGCGACCGATGGTCTCCATAAACAAACTAGAGAAACAAAAACAGTCTTTGTTATGTATAATACTGAAGAATTTGATAATGCTTTACATACGTCCTTTATATGTGGAAACATGGGTATATAAACGGATTCAAACAAATCAATTTTAAAGAGTATTACATTAACTCTTGTTACATAAAGAGTTACTCTAACTGTATATATAACTTTAAATTTTTTCTGAATATTCACAAGAATCTCTGTTCTTACTGCCCCCAAACAAGAAGTGATGAAACTCACAACAATTCTAATTCAGCAGAGAAAGCCTAAGTATTTTTCAAATCTGCTTTATGGAGAATTGTAAGAATTAGGGATTACTGTCGTAAAAAATTTTATTCTGAGACTCCTAATTTAAGTTCATTGAACTAATAGTAAAGGTTTGTGAATGCAATGATGTGGCAGTGGTAACTGGTGAACATATATCACTTTAGAATAAAACATGGTCAAACAAATCTGGTCAAAAAAGAATAGTGGGAGCAGCAGATGGCATAATGGTTGCATCACTACACTGCCATGGAATCCACCACAGTTCTAGTCCCAGACCCAGTAGCTTGAAACTCACACCAGGCACATGTGCATGCATGCCCGAAATCCCAAGAGGAAATGGAGGAGAAGGGATTTTGCAATAGCCAACCTCCCCCCCGGGGGGGGAGGTGATTTCTTGCTTTCTGTCTCACTGTCTCTGTTTGTCTCTCCAGGGATCACACATGCCCTATAGGAAAAAAAAATCTCTCTCTCAAAATAAATAAATAAATAAATAATAGCATAGTCTTAAAAAATACAATGAATAATACAAAGCAAATAATAAAATTTTAAGTAAGCACATTAAATTACCTGAGATCCTCTATTCATATCCAGACCATACCAAACAGGCTTGTGGTCAGGAGATTTGCTGGCCCACCAGGTTTTACGTGGTACACTAGATGGGTTTGCTGATATACATGTTTCTCCTGTCTCCATGTTGCAATAAACTTTAATTGCATCTTCAACAGATCCCTGGTTAGGATCAATCCAGTATTCACCTATTTTCCAAATTACAAATACTTGCTAAATAAAGATCATTTTAAACATATTTAGGAGTCTCTAAAAAATTAACAGAAAGTTTGGAAATATAAACTCACTGATTAAAGATACTTTTAAGAAAAAGCATCCGCTAAGAAAAAAGATGCTGATATGCAATGGGTCCATCCATCATGTAGTCACTGTTCTACAGCACTTTGCCAAACCACTCACGAAAAGCTCAAAACAGCTGTGTGAAGGAAGCATCATGATCCCCATCTTGTAGATGAGAAAGAAATCCCCAAAAGAGATCATCTACAGTGAATAAGTGACTCTGCTGACATATATGTGAACCAATTAAATTTATAAGATCAATATTTTAAGCAAACTGGAGTTGCAATGAAAAAAAATCCTATTTCATCAAAACTATGAATAAAGTAAATAAATGAGCTGAATTACAATTATAATACTATGAATCCTCTCACTGGCTCTTTTAAAAATTAATCTCATGTATAAGAGGTTCATTTCTTATTTCACTTATTTTTTTTCTTTTTTCACTTCTGTTTAATCATAGTACATCTTTACATAGTACAACGATTTTTCACAGCATAAATACAGTACATATTAGTCAAGTCAAAGATATTGCCAGATATACCCAGGTAGTTCCTGGTACTAGACATCAAATCAAATGACTATACACATGTATGTGTACCTAGCTGTGTGTTTGCATATATATATATATATATATGAAAAATTGCATTTTACATAAAATTAATTGAAAGTGGTAATGTAAAGTATAGAGCTGGGAATAAAATGGCATATTCTTCAAAAATAGTAATTTATCTTTGTGAATGTCATTTCAAGTTAATCAAAACTTAAGCATTTCATAACTCATATTTATGGTCTAGGCTACCTCCTCTCCTGGTGTTATTAGATTAATCAAATGTAGAACAAGGAAAACTTGGTACATGCAACTAGGGCAGAAATACTATTTCATTCCAAAGTGCGTTAGCATCTCACTATGATATAATCCTGCTAATGAAGATTCCAAAAGTGTGGTGCACAGAACACTAAACTTGGGCCGGCTCTGTGGTACAGTTGCTTAATGCTATGCAGCAGAAGTCATGTCCCACATGTCTGACTGCAGTTCAAGTACCTGTCCTGGTAGCTTGAAAATTACACAATGTGTGTATGTCCCAAATCCTGAAAGGATGGAGAAATGGAGGGAAAAGGATTGCAGGATAACCATGCACCATTGGGAGGTGAGGGGGGCTGCTCTCTCTTTTACTTCCTCTGGCAAATGCACACACCTCTGGCATGAAATTATTTTAAAAGAACACTAAATCACATGAATGGAATTTCATTCAAATAAATACAGGTTTTAAAATATTTTCTTTGATTCTTGAGCTTCCAACAATATATGTTAGCACATGAAAACTCTGAGAGATCACACATCTAACTATGCTTAAGCAAATGTTTTCTATATTTATATCATCACTAGTGTTTGTACTTCACAAAACTTAACAATCTTATAGGAATCTGGAAGGAAATAGAACTAATGTCATGAAATGGGACACAGCAGTCTTTACCCTTTATTATAGCACATATCCTTCTGCCTTATAATTTTCAAATAGCTGACCTTTTCTACCACCAAACTGTATGTTCTGTGACATTTCTATCGTTTTATCGCTTGTGCCTATCACTAAGTAAAAAAGTCAATAAAAAAATTTCTAAAATGTAACTGAGAAAAACACAATCAGAGTCCATTGATTTTGCTAAAATGGGCCATGTCTACTCACCACTCTGCTTTGTAGAATGACAAAGCTTTAAGTCATCGCAAGTCCGGGCTGGATGTTTTTTAGAACCATCAGGGCTACGCATGGTTTCAATCTGACTACTGAGTGACTTCAGGGTAGCATGGACCCCTGGGTCGGTTTTGTTTTTGTCATCAGGGGCCGCCTGGTCTTCCGTAAATTCCGGGAGTGGGTCTGGCATGCTCTCGTCGTAGTGCCCCATGATATCTCCAAGAGCAGCTGTGAGGTGGCCAGGAGGACCCGGAGGCCCAGGTGGACCAGGTTCACCAGGAGGACCCTAATTAAAAACACATTGGAAACATATTTACATACTGTTTTTTCTAAATTGATGGGACTTGTTATAGGGAGGTCCATCAATTTAGTGCAATATCACTGTATGGGAAGACCTGACTCATGCTCTGTTGGCACTAGCTAGACTGGCCTGCCAAGCTGTTACACTCTGAAGTTGAGAAATGAGGTTCATTTTCAGGCAACATACCTGCAAGAGGACATCTGAGATAAATATAGATGAAAGAACAAAACATTTACTATAATGTTTACTTTAAAGATACAATATATTTTAAGAATCTACAGATATGAGGCTAGAAATCGGTACAGTGGTTAAGAGGGTTGGATACCACATGGTCAAATGTGTGGTTCAAGTCCCAGACCCAGAAGCTTGAAAAACATGCCAGGCATGAGTGTGTGCATATCCAGAATCCTGAGAGGAGAATGGAGCTGAAGGGATTGCGGTGTGGCCATCTTTCATGAGTGGTGATTTCTCACTTTCCTTCTCTCTCTCTGTCTTTCTCTCTCTGCCAAGTGCACATGCCCAATAGCAAATTTAAATATGTATAATATAATATATATTATATACAAATATAAATTATATGTTTATTATAATTTAATATACATCATATATAAAATCTCAAAGCAAAATAAAATTATATATATATATACACACACAAACACACACATATATAAAGAACCTGCAGAAACATAAATTTATTTACAAACTCTTGGGCATGGTAAAACTTAAATGGTTTAAAAATGTTTATGGACAGAAGCTGGACAAGTGATTCAGGGGAGTTGTGGGTGCTGGTTCTATAAAGCTTTATGTCAATACCAAGAAAAAACTAACAAGAGAATTTTCCATTACTTCCAAATGACAGAGACCATGGGAAACACAGGAAACTTTTTTATTTTGATATAAAAAAAAAATCAAAATCTTTGCCTAAACAAAATCAAAGAAAGTTCTCTTTAGGAAACTTTTCTATTGCTATAAGTAACAAACTCCCATGAACTTTTGCTAAAAGAGAACTGTAGGAGGGAGAGACAAACACAAAACACGGTAGAGGCTAGGAATTAGATTCTCTCTTAATTTTCTTCTGCACATATTCAAGAAGGCATTCCATGGTGTGAAAGAATAGGGGGACAACTTGAAGAGACATATAGTCCATGTCTCACATGGAGAGCACAGACCAGGGAGTCAGAAAGCCAGAGTTTTATTACTGACTTAGCTCTCTGACATTGAGCATGCTACTGAGCATGTGCACTTGGCAGAGGGAGAGAGACAGAGACAGAGAGAGAGAGAGTGAGAAATCACCCCTCATGGAAGATGGCCACACCACAATCCCTTCAACTCCATTCTCCTCTCAGGATTCTGGTACCAGATAATTTGTTTTAACCTTCGGTGCCAATGTTTTCTCATCCTCAAAAGGCTGTTAGATAAGAATTTATTTCTCTAAGGTCATATCATAATTCCATGCATTCTTTGACACTACTCTCAGGAGAAAAAATTTTTTCTAACAAGAATCATCAAACTACAAAATCAGGTCAATCAAAAGTCACATAAGTCAGAGTAGTTTGGTTCTATAGCTGTTTCCTATTCACAATGAAAGAAATAAGTAAATAGGAAACATTCCTCTTGACATGGGACATAGAGGCAATTTGATACACATAACTGAGAAAAAATCCAATTTCATAGTCTTCATTTTAGCATTTTTTTTTTGGAGAGTTTTTTTTTGTTTTTTTTTGTTTTTTTTTTGTTTTTTTTTTGTTGTTGTTTGTTTGTTTGTTTGTTTGTTTTTTGCCATAGGATGCGTGCGCTCAGGTCGACTACATGGGTGTCCAGTGACATAGCCATTACGCTAACTGCTGGTCCCCATTTTAGCATTTTTATAAAGGTTTTATGAAGTAGAAGCTACATCTCACAGGCATTTAGGGTATTCCTTATCGTGATATGTGAAGAAATGTTTTAAAAAACATTTTAAGGCCAGCAGGTGGCGTGGAGGTTAAGGTGTCGTATTCCCACATGGCTCACCATGGTTCAAGTCCTGGAAATAGCAGCATGCTTTCTCACTTTCCCTCTCTCTTTCTCTCTTTGTGTCTCTCTCTGGTCAAGTTTAAAATGATAATAATAATAATAAATGTAATTAAATAAAAATTTTTTAAGAAAGGAAAGCAACATTTTCATAACTTTAATTATAAATACAACTCTAACTTGCTATTTTCTCTCACTGATACCATAAGTAGTCAAGGGTTGAGTAGTTTGAACTCCTATTTTACAACTCTAGGGAACAGCAGATGGCATAATGGTTATGTTGTTGAACTCCCACATAGTTGACTATGGTTCAAGTCCTGGACCCAGTGGCTTAAAACTGAAATCTGTGCATGCGTATCCAAGATCCCAAGAAGCGAATAGAAGTGATTGCCATGTGGCCAGTCCCTTTAGGGCTGAGTGCTCACTTTCTGTATCTGTCTCTCTTTGTCTCTCCGGTGAGCATATGTGCCCTATAGCAAAAATCTCTCCAAAAGGTTAAAAAAAAAAAAAAAAAAGGAAAGGGAAAAAAAAACTCTAAATAGTGTGTATTAAATTATTTAATGGCTTGCCTCATTGCCAAGTAGTTAAGAAGACTGGACCCCACATGGTTAACTGCAATTCAAATCCCTGTCCCTACAGCTTGAAAAACATACTGGACACATGTGCCAGTGTCTCCCAAACCCCAGTAAGATGGAGAAATGGAGGTGAAGAGATTACAGTGTAACCACACACCATTGAGAGATGTCTTTCCCCCCTCTCTTTTCATCTCTGTCTTACTCTGGTGAGCACACACACCCTCTGAGAATTAAAAAAATAAAATTTGTAGATGACTGTTTATACACAAAAGCACTTATGTTACTTATATGTTCGTTTTCAGGGTCTCTTAAGTCTCTTAAATATCAGATTGCACAGATGTTACTTAGAGGGAATCCAAGTTATTGAGATCAATGCAGTTCTTGTATGGACATCCTTGTGACTTTACCTCAGGTCCTGCTTCTCCTACACTGCCCCGCACACCAGGAGGTCCAATCGGCCCAAGTGGTCCAGGGTTTCCCTCTTTACCTGAAGGACCTACTGGGCCTGGGGGACCCTGAAAGAGACAAAGACTGTATTTTAGATTCTATAAAGAAAAATTGAATAATGCTTGTCTCTGATCAAAGAACTGTTTTATATACAGAGCTATTATAATGATTTCTGATTCCATTTCTTAATGACTTATAAATGAATTTCTGGCACTTAGTAACATTCTTGATTTCATTACACTGAATCTTCCATCATACATGTATGGTAAAATACCAGTGTGAATTAAAATCTTTAATAGACTAATCACATAACTTTTATTGGTAGGAACTATTTCATCAAATTCTAAACACTGTAATTAGTTGGAAACTCAATTAACTCAAGGTAAAAAAAAATGACAAAAGCTGGAGTGTTTGTGAAATATGTATGTTTATATGCCAAGATCTCATCATATTATAGTAATTTTGATGTGACTATTCTCAATTTTATGAATAAAATTGAGATATTTAGATATACCAGAAATTTTTAAAATAATTTTTCTAATTATTTCAACATGTTTTTCTATTTTCCTAAATAATCATAAATTCAATTTTCTTATGACATCAATGACATATTAGGAGTACCATTAATACTAACATAGAGGGGACCAGCAGGTGGCTTGGTGGTTAAGGCGCTGGACACTCCCACATGGCTGACCATGGTTTGAGTCCTGGACCTGGTGGCTTGCTTGCTCTCTTTCTCGCTCTTTATCTTTTTGTCTCTGGTCAAACTAAAATACATGAATGAATGAATAAAATTAAATAATTATTTAAAAAATACTAATGTAGAATCTCCAAAAGTTTCAAATATTGGTTTCATTTTATGTTTTCCTTCCAAATTAGCCTTCTTCATACTTGTGAAGAATTAACACAGTTACTTAAATGACAAAATACATCCAGCTTCAACATGTCTGTGTCAGTTTCATGGTAGGTCCTATTATACTATCCAAGAGCACAAGCTCAATGGAAATATAAATTCACACAAAGCAAGAATATTAACTAACAGATGAATAAATCCAAACCTGAGGTAAGGAATTTTAATGTGGACTCATGAGATAATTTGTCATATTTCAGGATATTTCTACCTTAAAAAAATTGCCATATGGTTTGTTTTATGTCTGCTGTCAACTTCAGAGACTATGAGCCATCTCCAGCTTCAATGTCATGAAAATGATTCTCAAGAATTAGCAGCATGTCACCAACTGAAGGCATTATTATTTACATCTGCAACTTCATTTGTGTTACTTACCCTTGGTCCAAATGGTCCAGGAATTCCAGCACTGCCTTGTTCACCATTTGGACCCTAAGTGGAAATAAAAATTTAAAGTTTATGAAAATATTTAGATCCTACACTGTGTCTTATCTTTTTAAAATGTGCTCTCTCATGGACTTTAGCAGCAGAGACTACTATGGTAAAGTATCTATGGAAGTGGACCAACACCAAAAACAACTGTGAGAGTAAAGATAATTATTGCTTTTTGATTTATTTCTTCCCTAAAAATTATAGCTTACGTATGGACAATTATTTTGGGTGACCACATCATTAGTTATTCGTCAAAATATTTTTTGAAGTTAAAATAAGATATACAAATGTTTATCTACTTTACAGATAGTTAAGTGTTCATGTCAAGATAACCTGGATATTTGCAGAGGGAAGGCAGAATAATACTGAAAGGAATAACTTACAGGAGGTCCAGGAAGGCCCTGAAGACCAGTGAAGCCTCTGTGGCCCTTCTGACCTCGGTCACCTCGGTCTCCATGATCACCTTTGTCACCGCGAGGTCCTTGGGGTCCCTAGAAATAGCGTTGTGACATGGATGTTAATTGTTAAAGCTACAGTTTACTACATTTTAACATTTTTAGAGTTGTATTTACTATAATTGTGAATACTATATTTTATACAGATTAACATATTTACTTATCTAAATAGAATTATATCTGGGGATTTTTTTTGTCTCTTTTATTCAGGAATAAAGGGTGATCACCAAAAACATAAACTTATAAGGATGTTTTCCTAAATATTATGTTTTTAAAAACATGTATCCTAAATTCATACTTAAATGAGATATCTTTACGTTTGATCTAACTTATTTGATACATTTTCCAAAGATTCTATTTCATGTACTTAGTTAATACTGTTATGCAAAAAAATTGCCACCATACTTAGATTTTTTAAACTTAAAACACGTACTTTTTAATTTGTTCTTCCTCTGAAAATAAAATGCTTATTTAATTTGCATATAGCATATACAAACAAACTAAATGGCCATAACAGCTGGGACTATATTAAGAAATTGGCAAAAAAACACACTTTTTTTTTAAGCAAATGAAACAGGAATATCATACTTAAGACACTTTTCATTGCAAAAAAAAAAAAAAGAAATCCCATGTTATCCTCATGTTATCCCAAATCCAGCGATCCTAATCCTACTCCATTACTAATTAATTAGCAAATGCAAATCATATAATAACATCTCATATAATTGGCAGAAGTTTCAAGAAAGCAGGGTCATTTTTGTCTTTAGAGTATTCCTAAAAAAAACTGGAGCCCTATTGAGTTGACTATGGAGGATGGATGCACTCATCAAATCGCCTGGTCTAAGTTCAGTTTTCTCTTATTAGGTGTTAGGTTTTATTTTGTGTTTTTTAATTTGTATTCCCTAATAATCAGCTTGTACTTTTAAGTAAAAGCAAGACTAGGCTTCAGTGCCTATATTTCACATAGCAATGCAAATTTAAATACCTAAATCAGTCTGCATGCAATGTTATAAAGGTTCTTTTATTTCAAGGATGTCCCAATGTTTCATTATGAAACATAAGCTAAACCAGAAAACACCTATTAAATTATTAACTAAAATATATTTATTCATTGAAAATGAAATTGTACTGTCTCTGTGTTTAGAAAACCACTCTTGATTTTTTGTACAACTATGAAATCTTTGCCAGTCAAGGTCAAATCAAAACTGAGATTATGATAACAAAGGGGCCAGCAGATGGTATGAACTTTAAAACACTGGACATTGCCAACCACATTCCAAGTCCTGGATGCAGTCAGTGGTTTGAAATTCATGCAGGGCCCATCTACACGTGTGCCTAAAATCCAGGGAGAAGAATGGAGGAGAAGGGACTGTGGCATGGTCATCCTCCCTGACAGATGACTGCTCCCTTTCCTTCTCTCTGTCTCTCTCCAGCAAGCACATGAGCTCCATAAGGGGAAAAAAAAGGTGAAAAAAAAAATGGCCATTATTTTAAGGATATAGTAAGGATATAATTGTTCTTGATGAATGTAGATATTGATCTATATAATGGACATGAAAGGAGTATGACCTATTAGACATCTATATAGTTAACCTGAAAGTGATTACAAATAGCAAGATTAGGAATAGTTAGGAAAGTCTAATCAAAGAGCTTTTAGATCCACTTTCCTCTGTAACTTTTAGAACAGCTCTGAGAGAAATGTACTAATGTCCTATTATTCTGAGAGAAAGCTGGACTCTAAAACTTATTTTTTAATTTAATTTTATTTATTTATTATTATCTAAATTTTTATACTACATTTAATCACATATACCTTTACAGTGTATTACATTTCTTTTCCCAGCATTTTCCAGCATGATTACCATGCATATCAGTCAAGACAAAGACATTACTATCCACATCATTGTCATCTTATTTTTGAAAAAATTAAAAGGTCAATTCAGAGAAGCTGTGTTAACATTATAATTATAAAATCATAAATTTCAAATCCACTTACCTCTGCGACTTTTAGAACAGCTCTGAGAGAACTACACTAATATCCCTATTATTCTGAAAGAAAACTGAACTCTAAAAATATTTACTAAATTTTTAAAGAATTGATGGTTAAATACAGAGAAGCTGTGTTAAAATTATAAAAACAAATATGAACTCTTATCTCCATTTTTTGTTCAAGCTTTTAGAATTTGACTTTTTCCATTTATAAATTTTAAATTGTACTTCTGTGAGAGTACGTTTTATACAAGAAAACTTTATTTGAAGAAAAACAAAGAACTTACAAGTAAACCACGTTTCCCAGCTCGACCAGGTGGTCCGATAGGACCCCGAGAACCCTAGAAAAAAATGTTCACAAAAATTCTATGTAAAAAATGCAAACATTTTATTTATATGTGAAGACATAATATGTATTTTTAGTCATGTGTTTACATATATACAGTATATATGTGATTATATGTATACTTTTATGGGTAATTGATTGAAATCATGCAAATATTTAAATATAGGTAAAAATGTTTTACTATAACTCCAGTGAAATTTTCAGAGTTCATTTAATTTATTGGTTTCACTGAATGAATATCACTTTAGTTTATTATAGTTAGATATTACTAGCTTACATATAACATGATGCATATTTACTATAATTTTTATAAATCACAGCATTATTAAAGTGTGAAAATCAAAAAGCAAAAGCACCTTTAAATCCTTACTGGATAGTGAATATTTTCTTTAAGACTGAAATATAAACTTTATATATATATATGACTTTGTGTATGTATGCATACAGGTTGTAATATAATATATATCATATAATATATATTATAATATGCTTATTGATATGAATAACTGTCAGTGTGATTTTTATTCTCTCCTCACCGGATCTCCTCTTTGTCCTGCATCTCCTGGAGCACCAACAGGACCTGGAGTTCCAGGGGCACCCTGAGAGCCTGGCAAACCTGCAGGCCCAGGGTCTCCACGATCACCCTGGCAAGAATAAACATGATAATTATCTTTTAACATATATTCTAAAACAACATTCTTCATGCTCATAATATTCACAATAGGAAAAAGTGTAACTCTTGAAAATTTACTTTTCCTTATTAATTTACTTAAACATTTTATGTATATTTACTAATTAATAAATCACATTTGAAAAAAGGTTATTTAAATAAAAGGTTATTTCTAGGGATCAGCAGTTGGCGTAATGACTTTTTCACTGGATTCCCATGTAGTCAACCATGGTTCGAGTCCCAGACCCAGTGGCTTAAATTCACACCGAGCGTATGTGTGTGTGTGTGCCCAAGATCCCGAGAGGAGAATGGAGGAGAAGGAATTGTGGCATGGCCATTTCCCTGGAGGGTGATTTCTCACTTTCTGTCTCTCTCTGTCTTTCTAGCGAGCTCAAGCACTCTATAGCGAAAACCTCTCAAAAAATTTTTTTTCCTTAATTTCAGATCTCATCTTTCTCTTCACTTCTACCTTCAATCAATATTATTGGAGTAAAGAGTAGCTGCCTCCAGAACCTAACATACTTGAAGATCAAAACTAGAGTATTTGTATATTCATAATACACAAAGACTTTCTAAAGAGTGTGAAAATCAGAAAATTTTTAAGGAAAACATTTTCCAGATTTTCAACTACATATGTGTTCTTTCAGAAAACTGATGTTTCAGCAGCCTTACTCACTTCCCCTTTAATAATTCCCCTTCTTTCACTTTATAAAAAGAAAGCAAACATCATACCATCTGCAATCTTATGGTGCAATGTCTCTTAGGCACCAAACTCAGAGACTTTTCTAGAATGTACAATTCACTTGAGAATAAAACTAAGAGGTATTTGGGGAAAAATTAATTCTTATTTTACCCAAATGATGCAGTTAGGAGAAGATTCCAAATATTACCTGTCTCTTAAAAAGAGAGAGGTTAATAATTGTTAAATGGATATTTATAAACATAACTATGTCACTAGAAAAATGGGGTAACATTTTATTTTCTTATATAAATTATCTTGTTTGACTAATTTGGCAACTAAGAAAACTCTGACAATTCTAGAACAGACACATAATAAACCAAATAAGCTAAATTGGTGAGCCAAGATTTTGGGAAGAAAAGTACACTTAAAGCACATATACATTTGAATTTGCCAGCAATTTAAGCTAGTGATCTTTTAAAACGGCAATGGCAACTTAAAATGTAGACAGGGGTTCATAGGTTTTAAAAATTATTTTAAGGAGTATATCAGCACTAGACAGTACATACTGCTCAGGGGGAAAGCCCAGATTCCAAAAGAGTTTATAACCTACAAGTTATGGTAATAAGGGGAGCGTTAGCCCAACATTCCTCAAAATTTATTCTTTGCCCCTTTCATCATGACGTTGTTCCTGAATGCGATCCTGTACTAAATGATTTAACGTAAAATGCTCAATGGTGTAGAAAATAATCATATTTCATGTATTTGCTAACAGGTAAAGAAAATTTTCTGAAGATCATACAGCTGGTTATTTAGAGAATCGAGATTTCAAATCAAATCTGTCTGTCCCCAAAGGCCATTTGCTACATGGTGAGTCCTTAGAGTAGAAAAGTCACTATTTAATGTGAGTCTTTGGGGTTGGGAGTAACTTTTGCCATAAGCGTACTGGTACTTAGTCTGAGACATTTGTGCAACTGTCTTTTTAGTTCAGCATACATCTAAGGAAGAAACACATCATGGAAAACACAGTGCTGAAAAAGCTGCACATCTTATATTCTCACAGGACATCCACCTCAGGGTACAAGCAGAGAAACTTAGTTGTCACACAGCTCTATTTTGGCTTTCATACTTTTGAGAATGGTATTGAAATTTAAAACAGTTCAGATGTGTCTTCAACCAAAACCTTTATCTGTTACCAAGGATGAAAATAACTTACTTTTCTGTTCTTAATTTAAAAGAAAAATCTTACTTTCTGCGTATTCAAATATAATTACATATACGAGATTTACCAAAAAGGTTCCCACAATCAGAAAAATCAGCACAGCATTAGAGCTATGAGAATACTGTGTAGTTTTTAGTGTGATACTAAAATTACACATATTTCAGATTAACATGACAAGATTGTTTTAATCAGTGAAATTGCTCTTACACGTTCTCCAACAGCACCATCTCGCCCTGGCGTTCCATCATTGCCAGCTGGACCCTATAAAGAAAATATTGAAAAAAATTAACTGAGAAGTGAAAACAATCTCATTCCAACTGTCAGAAAATTACCGTATATTTCACACCTTCCTTTCTTCTATGAACTATCAATGACCATTTATGTAAATCTCAATAGAAGAAAGGCTTCCATCATCTTTTCTATTATTGTGAATTGTTTGTAATTTTTTTATTGCCAGAGAGCATGCACACTTGCAAGAGAAGAGAAAGAGAGAGACTATACCCAACAGGGTATAGTTTCTCCATCCCATCAGAATTGGGACATGCATACACACACACACACACACACACACACACACACACACACACCATTTGCATTTTTCAAGTTTCTGGCCCAGGATTTGAAACAGAGTTGCTGTGTGAGATCCAGATCCTTACACAGTGCTTAACCCCTGTGCTACAAGGCCAGCCTTATTTGTAAAATTATTAACACATTCTTATTTAATCTCAATTCTTCATTTTTCTTTATTTTTAAAAAATCTTCAAACACTTTGTAATAAATAGACAGCAATTACATTCTAGTCATTTTATGTAATGTTTATGTTACTTTTACATTTTAAGTTTATTCAAATATTGGATCATCAGAAAAGTCATGATGTATTTTTTCTATGATTTTCTATGCAAAAAATGCATCATGACTTTTTGGATGACTCAAAAAGACCCTTAATATTTTGAAATCAAATAACTGTGTTTAGATGGCATCACTATTAAAAAAAACTGTATTGTTTTCTCTTCCTGTTTTATTTCAATTATTGTTAGAACTATGTTTTGACTATTTGATCAAATATTGCTATGAATATTGTTGCACTAATTATTTCTTTCAAGAAAATGTGACATTAACCATTTTGTGATTTACTCATTAAGTGCTGTACAGAGGATATCCCAATCTTTAACTTCTCAAATTGCCTATCAAAAACCAATTTCTACTCAAAAGAGCCTAAGAGAACATGACATGCATAACATTACTTTATAGTGACATTTAAGTAATGTGATCTTTACTTATTTGCTGTTTTCACATGCTATAATAATTATAGTAGTTCTGTCACCATAAAATTTGGCAATTTTGATAAATATGCCATCATCGAATGAAATAATAACACAGGAGATGATGAATGGATATGTCCTTTCACCTTGAAAACAATTCGCTACTGGCTAACTCAACTAAAATGTTTGGCTCCAGACTAGATGAAGGTTATTTCAAAGATACTGATCTTGTTGCTTTTTTAATGTCATCATTTAGCCAACTCCCTAGGGAAGTAGAGTACATTAAATAGCATCACTGTGAAACTCCTTTGAGGTCAAATGGGTAATCAATTTCTAAATTAATTTCTAAGTGAAAAACGTGTCTCCATGACACCCAGATAATAAGAGATGAGTTATTTCCACTGCAGTACTCACTTCTGGTCCAGGTTCTCCTACAGGACCATTGGAGCCAGGGGGTCCCACAGGTCCAGGAGGCCCTTTATCTCCTGTTGCGCCAGTTGGCCCTACTTTTCCTGGTGTGCCCTATAATAGAAGTTTAAATAGGTCAACTCCTCTGAAGAAATTTAAGAATGCTAGTTTCCATAAAAGCTACATTTAAGAAATAGTTACCTCAGTCCGTCCTTCTTTAATAATAATTGTCCATTATCCTACAACACCCATGTCATTGTAATGCCTCTTATAGGCATGCCCACCTCTTATCACACGCTTCTTGACACATCAAAGGGATCAGAAAGCATCCTTTGCCACCAGTTCAGGTGTGCCTGGCAGGTTCAAACCAATGGGACTCTGGTCATATCTGGCTGTCTTTCTGGGATCTACCTCACTAATAAAACACACTCATTCTTTTTTAATCCTACTTTGTTCGTTTTATTTCTGTAGCCAGGTGTTTTAGTATCATCATTGGGAGATTTCATTTTCAGGTCCTCAGCTCACTTCTGATAAGAAGAAGACATCCATTAACTCCCAATTTTCTGTTTTTAATTTTCTACCCATATGTCTCCCAGTTCCTTGATCCCAGGTATAATATTATACTGTTCACATTCCATATAAAAACCTCACTAATGTTTTCCTCAAACATTGTTAACTTGCAGTGGTAGAATTTAGTATTTTCCAACCTTATATTGAATCAAACTTTCACTGATATTCTAGGGAATATGAAATTCTTAAACACCCTCCAGGGAACAGGAGATTACCTTCAGACTCTTTCATAGTTCACCCTGCATTCACTTCTAATCTTACCTTAGTTCAGCCATGTCTTTCCTTTGATGTCTTATTGTGAAATAAGGACATTTTTGTTTATTTAGAAAAACACTACCTACACACTAGGAGATCATCTCCCTTCTCTGGCTCCATAGATCTTTTTAATCCTCAAAGAAAGATTTGAGTCACCAAAAATCCATATCCTTATTTGCCTACTTCTCTAGTTCCAGAGTTAAACAAATACATTTTTCAAGGATTTTGCAAGGTAGTGAAATATTTGACATTTAAGATGAAAAGGTTTTTAAGACACTCAGAATTTATCAGCACAAGACTATTTAAATCTAGTTATGCAAAAAAAATCAATTCTCTACATAAATTATATTGCACATATCAAATGAAATATTGACCAAAACAGCTACTCACCGCCGGGCCTGGCAGGCCAGGCATGCCTCGCTCTCCACGCTGCCCAGGCATGCCAACAATGCCTCTCTGCCCAGTAGTTCCAGCTGGACCAGGGGGACCATCTGGACCCTAATGCAGAGGGTAATATAATTAGAAATCTTTCAGGATAAAGCTGCATCCAAGGAATTTACAGTAGATTGATTATATCCTTATAGGTTTTTGATATGAGAAAATGTTCTGTTTTACAAAATCGTACTACACACCAGTCGTCATAAATTATAATCCACACAGAGCCTCCAAAATTATTTTAAGGTGAAAACATTAGTCAGATGACATACAACTTGAAGATTAATATGGATATTGAATGAATAATAGAGGTAAATATTCAGAGATATATTTTTCCTCTTTTTAATATGACAGACATTTTTAAAAATAGGAAATAATGACATACTTAAATATTAATAGTTAAAAGGATGTAGGTATTAATAATATATTTTAAAATTTCTTCACTACATCAAATAATTTTTTATCTAGTTTTTTGACACCACATCCATTAATATATTTTAAAATATCTATTTATATACTTTTAAATGGAACAGAGAAATAATAAATTAATTTTTTAAAATAATTATTTAACTCTATTGATTGATTGATTGATTGATTGATTTTAATTTGACCAGAGAAAGACAGAGTGAGTGAGAGAGAGCGAGAGAGTGAAAGTGAAAAACCAAGCCACTAGGTCTGGGATTCAAACCACAATCAGCCATGTGGGAGTCCAGCATCCTTAACCACCATGCCATCTGCTGGCCCCATAAATTAAAATTTTATAAGGCACATTCTACTTAAAAGATTTAGAAATCTGCCCTGCATAATATTCAGTTTCTTTGTGATAGCAGTTGTTATGAGTTTCTATTTGTAAATATCCCAACTATATGTGGTCTGCAACAAAGATGTCTAACTTACAGGTTGCCCATCTTCTCCTGGGTCCCCTTTGTCTCCTGGGCCACCAGGAGGGCCAGCCGGTCCTCGATCTCCCACTCGTCCATGAGAACCAGGGTCCCCACGAAGACCTGGAGGACCCTCCTTCCCAGGCTCCCCTAAGGGCCCTGCAGGTCCTGGAGCTCCCTAGCATAACATAGAAAGAAGCACTCAGAAGGGCACATAGAGACCAAGAAAGTGGTAATGACAACAGTATCTGCCTCAGATGCAGGCATCCAAGTCATGCAGATTCATTTTTCCTGTTAGATAATCAGTCATTTAGTAAACTGAAACAAAGCAAAACACAGCTATACTCTATCAAGGGAAAAATCGACATATCATTTGCAGTTGATTTACTTTGAATCATTATTAAAAGTGGGGAAATTAACTTAAGACTTGAAGCTTATTTTATGCTCTGCTCTGGCAATCAATATGTAATATTTTATTTTGTTTAACTGACCTTATATTGAAATAAAAACATTAACAAAACGGCCAGAGATGCTTCCTAATAGAAAGGAATGCTTATTAGCACATAGTACCATTACTCTTTACTATATCCAAAGGGGATAATAATCAAATACTGGGGCTATAAAAGACTTGCTAATAAACTCCTCCAAAAAATATGGAGTAGCTAAATATTAATTTATTTCCATTAAATGCCAGTATGAATGGCTGAGATGAACATCGTTAAATAGGAAAATAATAACAATAGATTAAAAGTGAAAATAAATGCCTCAAATACACACATCGTGTGCATGTGTGTGTGTGTGTGTATGTGTGCAATTATTCTATTGTCAATGACTTGAATAATTAAGTTGACTTACAGTAGGGCCTGGAGGTCCAACTCTGCCAGCAGAACCAGGAAATCCTGTAGCACCCTAGAAACACAGCACCATTTAAGAAATTTTTAAATAATGTTGCTTACATTTATTTTCATGAGATCTATGTTTCTCCACAGGATTATCTAGGTTTTGTTTTTTTTTTTAAGTTCATTTATTTACCTCTCCCAAGAGAAATACAGATAGGGAAGAGAAATAGAGAAATAGACATCCCTACCGGGGTCCTCACACCACAATCTATTGCTGGTCTCAGCTAGCCATGATCACAGGCCTTTGCGCATGCACCCAGCATGCTCGGGGCGATCCTGGGATGAAACCCAGGAGCTTTCTCATGTGGGTCCCATGGGATCACATCTGTGCTACCACCTGGAACCAAGAAGTCTTAGGCTTTTTCATTTCCTTCCATGTTGTGACCAATATATATAAATATATATATATATTTTTTTTTTACATGCATTCTATATTGTTGAGATTGAGCCTAGATTTATAGGCAATAGGAAAATTAATTTTCTCTTTTTGCTTTTTATTGATCTTGAACATACACCAAGTAGTCCTGGAATGACCTTAAAACTTTATATAACCAAATTATATAAAGTACTCTCACATTATTTGTTTACCCCTATTATAGGTTATATATCACTTAAATTATATATGAAGTAGCTGGGTCTCCAAGATGATACCTAAATTAAGTGTCCTATGCACTACACTGTAGTTGACACAAGTAATAATTTGTTATTACAGCTCTAGAGAAAGATTAACTTTTGCATCACTGGGAAGGATATTGGACTGACTGTTCATAATTCCCAGAGCATCAAAACAACTTACAGGTGGACCCTGAGTTCCTCGACCACCTTTTAGTCCAGGAACACCATTAGGACCCTAAGTAGAAAAAAAAAAAAAAAAAAAGAGTACTTTAGTAAATCCAATTAGCTAGATGTACATGGAAAACACTGCACTAGATGAAGTTACACCTTTTTACTTTTAACTTACATGAGGTCCAGGGGATCCTGCCAGCCCTTGTGGTCCAGGAGACCCAGCATCGCCCTTCTGGCCTGGCTCTCCTGGTTCACCTTTTACTCCAGGCTGCCCATCAGGACCCTATGTGCAAATGTACAAACAAGCAACTGATGATAAGACTTCCAGGCAAATTATTTCAAAGTAATTAACATTAATGTATCATTGAATCAGGGACCAGCAGTTGGCATAAAGGCTATGTCGTGGACTCCCATGTAGCTGACTGCTGTTTGAGTCCTGGACCTGGTGGCTTAAACTTACACCAGGCACGTGTGCTTGCATGATCAAGATCCCAAGAGGAGAATGGAGAAGGAATTGCGGCGTGGCCATCCCCACTGGGGGGCTGATTTCTTGCTTTCTGTCTCTCTATCTTTCTTTCTGTCTTTCTGGCGAGCACACATGCCCTATAGAAAAAGTCTCTCCAAAATAAATAAATAAATAAATAAAAAGTATCATTTAATCATTTATTGTTAAATTATGCTTTGTAATAAATATTGAAGCACAGTAGAAGAAAAAAAGTACCCTGATGACATCTTTGAAACTAGCCTGAAAAATAACATATTCCACCACATTTTATTATGCAAATAATTTTACAAGCTCAATGGTACAGGCTCATCCATTTTTGTGCCCTGTCTGTGAAAACATACTGAAAATTAACTATTGCCTAGAAAACTAATTTTTCAGAATTTTTAATATAGCTTCCAAATTATACACAACAGTATGGTTCATTTGTAAATCAGTAGCATTTGAAAACTATACCTGAGGTCCAGCAAAACCAACAGCCCCTGTCGGGCCATTTTCACCACGAGAACCCTAGGAGAAGACAAAGATTACTGTAGTTTTCACATACTGTTTTAAACAGAAATAGATTTTTCAAATATAATTATATAAATTTGGTATAGTAAGAAATGCATAGATAGAAGACTCTTAAAGCAGTGATAAAGGCATAGGTTATAAAACATAGTCCCAAAGTCAGGAGTCTCAAATAAGCCATAATAAATTTAGCAAACAAACTGCCTATTTAGACTTACAAATTTTATACTGATTTTTTTTTTCAATTCAATTGAAAAAAGTAAAAGTTAAAAGCAGGAAGTAATGAATAGGCTAAGCCAATCGACATGGTTTTATATGAATATCAAAATACAATGAAGAATTGTTTTGGTGCTTGTCTCACACTAAATAATATCCAAAAATTGTCACTTACAGGATTGCCCCGGGAGCCAGGAGGGCCAACTAAACCTCGAGGACCAGGTTCGCCCTAGAAAGCAGATTTTAGATGGTTATTGTCCAAAGCAGAGCAAAACTTCATATAATCATAGGATATAGGATACAGGAAGGGCAGGTGGAGGGGGAGAAATCTTGAGATGATCTAGCTTAGTTACAATATGTTACAAAAGGGAGACTTTGTGAAAGAGTCAGAAATCAGTCCTCAGGATTTTGAATGCACAAAATAAACTCGTGACTTACCTTTTCTCCAGTGGGACCGGCAGGACCTGGAGGGCCCAAGGGACCCGGAAGACCCTGTCAATTAACAGATCATAGGCACATTGAGGAAAAGAATGCACAAAAATCTTCATGTTTAAGCAAACAAATAGAACAAAAAGAAGGAACTATTGTGTTGTAGCTTAGCTGATTTTGCAAATTGTTATCTATAATTGTGTGTGTGTGTGTGTGTGTGTATTAAACGTGCGCATTCTCAAGTGTTTTTCCATTTAGTCTAACACAATTTCCACAAGATTTTCTTTACAGAAAGTTCTGATGTATTTTATCCAACTCAACTCATGCATATAAAACAGTCTTCAAATATTTGATGCCATTTATATAGTGTCTATGTTTCTCTGCTTGTGTAATGTTGCTCATTTCTAATTTTAAATTTGAGTACAGATTGAAAGAGGCTTTTCTTCTTTTGTATAGAATATAATTTTCTTAAATTATCATTATGAAATATATCTTTTTGAAAAAGAGTGTAATTGTGGTAACACATTTAATTTTATAAATATTTTTTACATGGAGTTGCCACCCAGCTACATTGAAGTTGATGGGCTTTTTTTTACACTTAAGAGCATAGGAAAGCTACCACATGGGGACCCACCTGGGTCTTCTTGACACATAGTTATAATCATTAAATGGTTGAGCACTGGAGTTCACTCCAAAACAAGTTCTCTAACTGATACTGGTGTATTGCCTCTTTATACACAACCTTAATACTCTTTCGTCATTTTACTTTTATATGTATTATTGAAAGAAACTTAAAGAACAAAAAAAAGATTTTAATTTCATATTTTGATAAGAACATGGGAAAACTTTATCCTTATATTCTTTGGATCTATATGGAACAATATCCTCCAATAATTGACCTAATGTATTTCCTTAAAGTATCTGCTTAAATATAAGGATAACTTCATATTCACAAAAATTTTTTAAGAAATAGAAAACATACTATACTTCATTTCTCACTATGATATTGTAGTACATGCTCTCCTCTGATTCTTTCATAAAATAATGCATTGCCCTCACTAAAAATAAAGCAGTCATTGAACAGAGGAGAAGGGATTGGGGTGTGGCCATCTACCCAAAAGACGATTTCTCACTTTCTCTCATTCTACTCTCTCTTTCTACCTCGGTCTTTATGTCTCTAGCAATCACATGCACCCTACAGAAAAACTTAAAAAATAAAAATAAAGTAGTCATTACTTCCATCTGATCCTGGTACACTGCATTTTCAAAGTGAGTTTATAGGCACAGTATATACATATCTGGAATTTCCTCTTAAAACAAACCGTCAGTGCCTCACATCTTCAAACAGTACCATACAATATTCTCTGGACTTCAGAACATTCATGATATAAAATACAAACAATATACTAATTTGGTTTAGCCATTTTGAAATATTAAATCAAATATTAGATTTGACTAAAGGGCAAGACATATTTTCTATTAATAATTTGTTAAACTGCTTCCCTTAAATAACTTTACATAAAAGGGGGTAAATTACTACTAAAGTTCAATTTTCTATATGTCACTATATTTTCTTCATCAAAAGCCAGTATAACCAATGTACTTCATGTACAGAACCAAACAGTGGCTCATTGTAATCTCTATTTTTTTACAATACAATTGCTATTGCCAGGGTACAATGTGACAACAAACAGCAAACATGTCATACTGAAAAAGAAATTAGTCATCAAATATCAAGATCTATCTTAGAAAATGTCTGATGTTTGAGCCACAGAAATATATTGTCTTTCTAGTCTGATTGTCCTTGAAACTGCAAATGCATCCTAATTTCAGAGACCTAAAGCCTGTGAATGTCAATTTCTGACATGACATTAAACAATGTTTTGACAGACATCCTTTTTGACACTCCATGTATCCAGCCTCTTCATTGTTGAAGGCGTAAATGCTGAATCACTGCCCAGCATTTTTCTCACCCCTGACGTCTAGTATATTATGAAACACTTAGCACAACATTGGCCATTCTACTAGGCTCTGCTTGCCTGGGCTGGAACAAGGTCTAGGCCAGCTCATCGGATCAGTATTTTAACAGAAATAAACACTGCGGATGAAATAAAAAGATGACAGAAAAGATAAAGAGAGACCCACTCCCTCAAACACCTATCTCATAGGCACAACAAGTAAGTGCTTTATTTCATTCTCTCATCAATGACTTTACTTTTTGGCTTGCAAAAAGTATGCATGGTTGATAAACATCAAATCTCCAATGTCATCATTTTCTAGTCTGACAACCAAGAAATAGTGATTAACTTTATTTTGAAAAGGTCAAGCCAATTCAAAATGACAATGATAATATTGGTTTCCAGCCCAGCTAGAAAAGAAAGCTTTCACTTACTCGTGCTCCATCATTTCCAGCTGTGCCTTCGGCGCCTTTCTCTCCTATGCCACCCTGGGAAAACGCACAACATGCCATTCGTTTATTTAATTGTTGATTTCTCACATTTTCACGGAAGCTTCATGAGGCAAAGGACTTAAGTGCCATGTTCATGGCTGCTTTCTATTGAACCTAAAACAGTGCCTGGAATTGTGCATTTTCTTGATAAATATCTATCAGAAAAACGAATAAATGACTTGTGACTCAGGATGGTAGAAGAAAAAACATACTCAGGAAATCATTATCAGTAGAAATTCTAAATAACTGAACTGAAAAGAAAAAAAAAAAATCAAACTTACTCTGTCACCCTTGGGTCCAGGAGTTCCTGCAATACCTCTTTCTCCTGGCATACCTTGAAGACCTGGCGGGCCTGTATCTCCAGGGGTTCCAGTTGGACCTGGGCTTCCCTAAAATAAACAAAAAATAAATGACTGTCACTATATCAAGACTGAACCACATAAAGTTTCTGTTTTACTAGGTCAAAATAGCTAAATGTCAGTAATTTCATAAAGTGCAAGTGAGTGCTTATATTTTTCATTTGGAAACATTTTTTTCTGAATTTATTTGTATTTAGGTTTATTTATTTATTTATTTTGACAGAAAAAAAGAAGGAGAGACTGGCATGCTTGCTAGGGTCTCATCATATCATGACTCCTCCCATACACACACACCACACACCATCCAGTCAAAGTCATGAGTACCCCTGTGGGCATGCCCTAAATAGTCAGGTCAACCTGGCAGCAGATGACATAATGGTTACATCGCTATACTCCCACCTAGTTGACCACGGTTCAAGTCCTGGACCCAGTGGCTCAAAACTCACTTTGGACACGTGTGCATGCATGCCTAAAATCTTGAGAGGAGAATGGAGGAGAAGGGATTGTGGCATGGCCATCCGCCGTGGGGGGTGATTTCTCACTTTCTGTCTCTCTGTCTCTCTATCTGTACAGTGAGCACACATGCTCTATAGCAAAAGTCTCTCTCAAAAAAAAAAAAAAAAGAAAATTTCAGGTCAACCTGGGATCTGAACCCAGAGCCTTCACAAAAGGCAACAGTATTGCACAGTGGCACCCTATTGCTGAGTCACTGCAACTAGGCCTGAGCCAATGCTTTTGAAGAAATAAAAGATTTACTTTTTAATTGTTGATTTATGTTAGTTTACTTTAGAGAAAACTGAACACCAGTTCAAATAAGAATGATAAAGTAGGCTCCCCTCCCGCCTCTTTATTGGCAACATCTTGGAGATACTAATAAAAAGAAGAAATTGCATTTAGATAAATATTTCATTTTCTCTTAAATACACACATGATATTAAGCTGATTCATAGGCTAATATAGTAATTAAATTGATGTAGATCTAAATTACTCTGGACCCAGAAGTCAATAAGAGATCTCTTATAATATGATCATTAAAAGTTCTAATTCAATTGGTTATAAGGAAGTCGGCTGCAGTATTTTCTGCTCATCACAAAACTGGCACTCAAAAGGAAATGGAACTGATGACACATTTTTTTTTTTTTTCCTTGAGCTCTGCCAGGACTCAGGGCTATTTGGAGCATGTTGGGATATTCATCACAAATTCATTCCCAATAGTCAGGAAATACTTCTTTCTGCAACTCAGTAGTTTCATTGATCAATGCTGAGTATACAGTAGAAGATGGTTAGTTTTCATAAAGAGATCTTCATTTTACATGAATATTAATTTTTTTGATAGACACAATAATTGTATCTGTCTATGGGGTACAATGTGGGTTTTATTTTCAATGCAAAAATACATGTGTTATACCAAATCAGAATAATTTACCTATCTATCACCTTAAATATTTGTCACTGCTTTATGCTGAAAACACTTAGAATCTTCTTTTGTAGCTAACTTTGAAATATACAACAAATTATTGCTTACTTCAGTTACCTATTGTCCTATAGAACACTAGAACTTATTCCTCTATCGCATTGTAATTTGCACACATTGTATTGTTACATTTCAAAAGCTACCTATTTTCATATACATCATAAGCAGAATTGTGGAAACTAAGACCAAAAACTTGGAATACATGATTAGAAACCCTTCCAAATGAATTATACAATTTCTACAGCTTATCTCTGCTTGTTCATGGAACTCATTCATAAAATTTATATAAATCAGCATTAGGAATGTGTCTATAAATGGAAATGTACCTTGATGTGTGCTAGACCATAATACCCATCATGGAACAGAACCTTTTTAACTGACTCTAGTTGCGAGAAAAAAGTCTAGTAGATACTCCTTAAATATTTGATGAAGAAAATAATATTAAATAAATTATCAAGAGAAAACAAGAGAATTATTGGGTTCATTGTGCAGTAATTTAGATCATTTTTAAATGTCAAGATCCTAAGTGTACTTACTTTTGGACCATCAGGACCATGTCCTCCAGCCATTCCCTTCTCACCAGGAAGCCCGGTTATTCCTGGTTCTCCTCTTTCCCCAGGGTTTCCTCGTTCTCCCTAGTAAAACATTGGAATGTCAAATAACTCAATACTTGACCCAAACATGGGTTAAAAATGCTTCTGCAAAATGGCTTCTACCAGAGAAAATTTTAGAAATGAGCCATATTCCAATTTAGTGATTCAAAAATAAACTTGAACTAAGGATACGCTAGTCTTGTGGAAAAAAAGTCATAAAATGTGCTTTCATTCATGAGAATGCAATGCCTAAAACAAAGCCCAGTTTAAAATAAAGATGCCTTTTAAAATTTAATCCAGTGGGAGGAAATACTTACTCTAGGTCCTAATGGGCCAACCACTCCGGGATCTCCAGGAACACCCTATAAATACATTAAAAAAAAAAAAAAAAGAACAAAAGCTTTCAGCAAGCTCTTAGGCATTTATTAAAAATATTTCCAGATAACATATCTAATTTATTTTAATGTAAAATTAGAAGACTGAATATGCCCACAATATTGACGAAAGGAAAATACATGTACTATGATAAGTGAGGCAATATCACATATATTGGATAAAAATATTTTCTCAGAAAAATTTACATTCTATCTGAATATTTGATTTTTGGTAAAGGAAACATGCAAAACTTATCTCACAAACAGTGCATTAGTTTTTTAAGACAATACAATTTATGCTACATATCTTTTATTTACTAAAGAACACAAAAATGTTTAGATGAGAATAATATCAAAAGCAATGAGCATTTAATCTTTTAAATAGAACCAACTCAATTCTACTCAATTTAATATATTCTTCTTAAGCATGTAACATGGTCAAAACACTCTATGAGCAACTGTAGGTTCAAACTAATGCAATCACTTGTACATTAAAAGTTTCAGTTTGTTCTTAAGTAATGTAAGTCATTTAAAATCATATCTTCTTGATAAAGATGGTGTTACCAGGTGGGCCTCCGGCTTATCTCCTGAAACTGTCCTCACTGTGGCGTGATCTCCCTTACACTCTGATCTCATCCTAATGCTTCCACTTAAAAGCTCTTCATCAGCCTTCCTTTACTCCAATGACAAATAGCAAATTTACTGATAGACCCTTCATATTCTGGCCCCTTATTCGCCTTGTCATCTCCCACTTCAAGTCATTCTTCATGACCTAGTTAACCTTTTTCAGTGCCATAAATTGATCAGCAAAGCCTTTATATCCGGTTAATTTCATTTCCTGGAGTGTTTTCTTACCTGCCCTTCTCTACCTTTACCATCCATCATTCTCTCATACAAGATATTATTTTGTTTTGGAAACTTATTCTAAATCCCCAGGTCAGAGAAAAATATTGTTGTTTTTTTTAACCATCATTCTCTCATACAAGATATTATTTTGTCTTTGAAACTTGTTCTAAATCCCCAGGTCAGAGAAAAATGTTGTTGTTTTTTTTTAATTTTTTTAATTTTTAACAGATAGCACTTTGCTTATCACAGCATTTCGGGCATGCTATTTTGTAATTGTCTTTCTGTCTTCTACTAAATATAATATTAGGGTGAGGTCCATAGCCACCTTTTTCACCTAGATAAGGCCAGTGCTTAGTTGAGTCAAGAACACAAAGTATTCTGCATCTTATTTGCTGAACAGTTAAAGGAAAAAAAAAATGAATCATTCAAAGAAAAATAAGAAAAATAACCTAGATCTATGTGCCAGTGGATGACAAAATAAAGTTGTAAGTATATGTTCATAACTAATTATAAATCCTCTAGTAAAGCTCTAGAGTTATGGAAAAGTATATGTGGTGATTAGAAACACAGTTTTGGAGCTGAGTTCAAATATCAGCTGTGTGACTTTGGGAAAGTTATCTAGCTTCTGTGCCTCATTTTCCTCATCTGTAAAACAAACAATAATTATCCACAGTATATAGGGTTGCTTTGAGGATTCTAAGAGATAATAAACTTAAACAATAAAGTAATATACCTCACAAATAAAAAGTTAAATTATGAGGCAATATTTTAGTTTTGCAATTAGTATTTAAGAACTTACCTGATCACCTGGCTTTCCACCTTCCCCAGGTGGCCCTGGAGGGCCAGGGAGCCCCTAAAATAAAAGTAAAGAAATGAAATTGTGAAACTGTAAAAGTCTAGTAAACTAACAGTGTTAAGAGTTTCCTTTTATAATTCATGAAGTCTCTACTACTATATATTCAAGCAAAAGATATTGTTCAAACATGTTAAGAAAATTACTTCTAACAACACTACAGCTAGTCAATCGACAATTAGATTTTCATAAGCACAACATTTAACAAAAAAAAAGAGATGAATATAGTAGGAGTTTCTTCACATTTTCAGTTTTCATGACTCTGAGGCAATATTTGAAACCACTAGAATATGACTGAAATGCAATCCTGAAAGCTATTTTTAAAAAATTATGACTATGCTGTTAAATAAGATAAATATCTACCATATGTAGAAAAATCATGTAGCTTGGTTCAATGAAAAGTTTTATTCACTATGTCAGGAAAATCAGATAAACCTTAAAATGGTTTACTAAACCTTGTGATATCAGAAATATTTATTTTTATTTTTTTAATAGTTTTGAGTGTTGATTAGGTGTTCAGAGGAAACCTATTCCTGTCAACAAAAATGTCTGACTTTATCCACCTATCCTATCTACTGAGAGAAGAATGATGTTTTTGAAAACTGTAGAAGTTCATATTTGACCCTATCCTTTTATATTTTAAAAAAGCATTTTGGGTCATAGGAAAAAAAAAAAAGGAAAAATGAATTAACACATACCTGAAAGCCAGTGGGGCCTGGCGGTCCCTGTTCTCCTCTTTCCCCAGCCAGACCCTAAGTCGTGAAGGGAAGAAAATCATGAATACAGCCAAAATTTTAGGCCTCCTGTTTATATGAACTATTAGAAATATTGATATTTCTTTATATTTTCTCAGTTGGATTTTGCACTTCAGCCAGATAACAGACTGGTAAGAAAGATGTCTTCTTAAGCCACTGAAGATACTGATAAAAATGTGTTTATTTTTTGATCCAAACATAAAATGTCTGGAACCATCTGTAAAACTCTGAAGAAATTGAATAAATTGAATATAGAAAAAAACATCACTTTGTTTAAACTTAAAGGGTAATATTTCTATTTCTGTTTACTTCTAAGTGTTAAAAGAATAATTAATGAGGACTTTATAGTCAAAGCTAGAATGACTATAGAAAGCAAAACTATTATTTTAGAAATATATTCAAACTGCTCCACCCTCCCAAAAAATGCCAAAATATTTCTTATAAATAATTTTTATATTGCAAGATCAAGTTATGACCCTAAAGGATAAATATTATCCCTGTGTGCCCCCTCAAAAAATAGCTTAAATACATTTTTATAAGATACATTATTGGAAGAAGGTAAGTATAACTCAATATTTAAACATTTTAAATAAAATAGACTATAGAATATTTTTCAAATATTATTTTCCTTTAGTTGATATATTATTCAATTTTGACATACAAAGATGTTGCAGTAATCCTTGAAATCAGACTTTTTAAAAAGTTTAAAATGAAAGAGCAACCATCGTATTTTTAAAAAGGCAAAAGAGGGGCTGGCAGATGGCTTGGTGATTAAGGACGCTGGACTCCCACATGGCCAGCCGTGGTTCGAGTCCCAGACCCTCTCTCTCTCTCTCTCTCTCTCACTCTGTCTCTCCCTGATCAAAATAAAGTAAATAAATAAAATTAAATAAAATAATTATTTACAAAAAAATGGCAAAAGACACCATATCATAGGAATGAAAAGAAAAGGTATAACTAAAATTCTTTTATTTTGTACATTCTTAATAATTTCCCTTGAAACTGATTCATATGTCAAGTCTTAAAAAAATCCAGTACATATATACTCTCAGTTAAAAATCACATACCGGGGGGCCCACGGGACCAGAAGTCCTGCTTCTCCAGGTTTTTCAAGATCACCCTAAAAAATAAATTAAAGCTGTTCTAAAATTTAATCCATGTACTACAAATGTACTGTCACAAATGAGGACTATCACATGATGGAAAGCACACTACACACTATACTCACACTGCTACCTTTCGGGCCTGGAAGGCCCATACTCCCAGGCTGCCCTCTGATTCCTACAGAGCCTGGAGGACCTGGACGGCCATCTTCCCCTGGAGCACCCTACAGAATTGATAGGAACCATGTAAGTTTTACATATATTCTCTCTAAATATCACATCACCCAAATTGCCACTTGTCTTTCATGCTACAAAAGCGAAATAAATTTTAAATTATCCTTAATTTGTATCTTAATGAATCACGGGAGTCAATAATTAAAAAAAAAAAAAAAAAAAAAAAAAAAAAAAAAAAAAAAAAAAAAAAAAAAAAAAAAAAAAGATTTTTTTGCCTTCGGGCCTGTGCACTCTCCAGAGAGAGACAAAGACAGTAAGAGGAAAAGTGAGAATTCACGCACCAAGGGGGAAGGCCATACCACAAAACCTTCTCCATTCTCCTCTTGGGATCTCGGGCACACACACACAATGATTTTCAAGCCACAGGGTTAAGGACTTGAACCATGGTTGGCCATGTGGGAGTCTATAGCCATGTAAACACTATGCCATCTGGTGACCCGAATTCATATTTTTTTAAAAACTACTCGGGGGGAGGGTCGGCAGGAATCAGCAGATGGTCTAATGGTTACATTGCTGGACTACCATGTACTCAATCACAGTTTCAGTCCCAGACCTAGTGTCTTAAAACTCACACCAGGTTTGTGTAGATGTGTGACCAAAATCCCAAGATGACAATGGAGGAAAAGTTATTGAAGCAGGGCCAGCCCCCTGAGGGGGGGTGATTTCTCATTTTCTGTCACTCTGTCTCTCTCTATATTTCTCCAGTGAGCACATGAACCCTATAGCAAAAAATCTCTCTTAAAAAAAATAAGAAAAGAAAACTACTCAGGGGTCCAGCTTGTGGCATGGTAGTTAAGGTACCTGGATACTAAACGGCTGACTGAAGAGGGACTTCACAGCTTGAAAAACACATGGGTGTGTATGCAAGCATGCCAAAATCCCAAGAGGAAAATGGAGGAGAAGGGATTGCAGCGTAAGCTGTGCTTTCTCATTTTCCCTCTCTCTTTTTCTCTGTCTGTCCAGTGAGTATTTGCACACTATGGCAAAATTTTTTTTAAAAAAAGGTATTGAGATATTTTAAATAGTTATAACAGACATTTTGTTCTTATTTTATACATAATCTTCATCATCACATCTGACAGTCCCATATTAATAGGGAAAGTCTCTTTTATTTCATTTACACTGATTTGTGTTAATAAAAATTCATGACTTCTGCTTCATATTATACTTTAAGAAAAAGTCTCAGAATTATAAACTGTCAAAATTCATTCTTACTTATTTCTTAAACATGTAAAATTGGAAAAACATCAAGAAATGAGGCTATTACTGGTAGACAAATTTCACCAATATTGAAAAATATGTCATTTCAGTTATTTCACAGATATCAAGGAAGCAATTTCAATCTCAAATATTATCTCAATAAAATTTGATCTACATTTTCATCTGTCTGAAAATACAGATATCTTAAAAATTTGTTTCCAGAAACATTTTAAATATATATACATTATCAGCAACCACATGATCAAAAACACTAGCTTCATATAGATATAATTTAAGTTGCATATCTATTGAACAGTATTAATGGTTGTGGACTTTTGTTCAAATTACTTACTAATGGTCCAAGTTTTCCTTCGGGACCCTGAACTCCAGGATTTCCTGTCAGACCCTGAAAAGAAAAAGCAACCCTTAGTTTGTTGATGACCAGCAACTCAAGAAAAGATTCTAATGAGGAAAATTATCACTGACTAGAAGGACAATCCCATAGTTCAAAAGGACTATTCAAGTGACATTGTGTTAAAATCAAATCTATAAAAAATTCTCTTTGCCAAAATTCTGAAAAGTTGTTAGCAAACAATAAAAAATTGTCAAAACTGGCAAAAGGGATGACCAAAGCATGTCCTGGTGGGTAGAGTGGCTGGATCTCACATGTCCAACCATGCACTTTGAGTCCCAGACCCAGAGATTTGAGAAACATACCAGATGTGTGTGTATCTATCTATACCCAAAATTCCAATAGGAGGGAGATAGAGAAGAGATTGCAGTATGACCAAACCTCCTATGGGTGCTTTCTCACTCTCTTTCTCTCTCTCTCTTTCTCTTGTGAATCCACATGCCTTTTTTGGCTAAATTTCCAAAGAAAAACTACCAAAAAGGATTCTTTTCTCACGTCAAGTGGTGAAGCTATTAATACACATTCCTTTGATAAAGGGAGATTGGAAGCTACTGTTTTTTATATTTCATGAAAATCACAAGCCGGTATTCAAAAAATAATGCATTAGGGAGAAATCCTAAAAACAACGAAATGTTCCAAATTGTGAAAGTGATCTAAAAATACAACAAAAAATGTCCCTTCAATGAATGCTCTGAGGCATCTCCCTGCATTGAAACAGGAAATAACTGCTGTGTTCTTACCCGAGCACCTGGAAGCCCAGGTTCACCAGGACGTCCTGGATCTCCTTGGCCCCCTTTAGGTCCTGAAGAACCTACAGGACCCCGTTCTCCTTGAGCACCCTGTTCCAGAGAAGATAAGTCAGAAAAGCAAGGAGTGCAGGCAAACAAAAGCAAGCATAAGTAAAATTCTGGTTTTAGGAGTCAAGGCACTACTACAACATACAATATGTTGTTAAACAGGTAACAAAAATTTCTTTGAAAAGAGTGTCACTGCATGTTTTGTCCTAGTCTTTGTAAAATAGTGATTTTTTATTGTTAACTAATAACAATTGTGTTTAGAGCTTCACTCCAATAATTCAAACTGTATATTAAAAAGCAGAATTTTAAGAGTTTATAATTTTCAATAACTAATATGTATGGATCAGCTAAAGTAAAAGTTAATAATCTGTTCTACTCAAGAACATCCATGAGAAGTCTGAAAACAAGCTCCCATATTTCTCCAACCACTATCCTCTCTTAATCCTTTTAATGCAGATATGGCACAAGAAGGCGTTGTTGACATTAGGCCTGACATCTATGTCCATTTCTTTCTGGAGCTGGGCCATGTGGGCCAGGGCCAGATCACGATGCTGAAAATGGCATATCTTGGAGCATCACCCACATAAGTACCACATTGTTGGGGTAACCTCACCTTTGGTCCAGGTAAACCATCTGAGCCTGGAAACCCACGATTGCCAGGTGCACCCTACAAATAACCAAAATGTGATTCATAAATCATGTGGACAGTTTGTGATACACACTAAATAGATAAATTATTTTATAATAGAATAAGAAGGTAGTTCTTCAATGGAGTGGATTTACCATTATGAAAAACTCAGAATATTGATTTTATTTTTTGTAATTACTGATGTGAGAAAATTTAATGATTAACCTGCCTTTGTCCACAGAGAAACCTAAACCTGATTTTTTTTTTTAAGTTCTAGTTTAAAGTGAAAAACTGTCTTAATTTGGAGGGACAGAATATGGAAAGAAAATTTGAACCAGATAAACTCAAAGATTAATTATTTCCATCACAAGGGTATTAAACATTGTGCACTGTTTGTTAAAGAACTGACAAATTTGTCCCAACTTCTTTCTGTTTGCATTGTCCTCACACATCTAGTGTCAAATTAAGGATTTCCAGAGAAGATAAGTCAGAAAAGCAAGGAGTGCAGGCAAACAGAAGCAAGCATAAGTAAAATTCTGGTTTTAGGAGTCAAGGCACTACTACAACATACAATATGTTGTTAAACAGGTAACAAAAATTTCTTTGAAAAGAGTGTCACTGCATGTTTTGTCCTAGTCTTTGTAAAATAGTGATTTTTTATTGTTAACTAACTAATAACAATTGTGTTTAGAGCTTCACTCCAATAATTCAAACTGTATATTAAAAAGCAGAATTTTAAGAGTTTATAATTTTCAATAACTAATATGTATGGATCAGCTAAAGTAAAAGTTAATAATCTGTTCTACTCAAGAACATCCATGAGAAGTCTGAAAACAAGCTCCCATATTTCTCCAACCACTATCCTCTCTTAATCCTTTTAATGCAGATATGGCACAAGAAGGCGTTGTTGACATTAGGCCTGACATCTATGTCCATTTCTTTCTGGAGCTGGGCCATGTGGGCCAGGGCCAGATCACGATGCTGAAAATGGCATATCTTGGAGCATCACCCACATAAGTACCACATTGTTGGGGTAACCTCACCTTTGGTCCAGGTAAACCATCTGAGCCTGGAAACCCACGATTGCCAGGTGCACCCTACAAATAACCAAAATGTGATTCATAAATCATGTGGACAGTTTGTGATACACACTAAATAGATAAATTATTTTATAATAGAATAAGAAGGTAGTTCTTCAATGGAGTGGATTTACCATTATGAAAAACTCAGAATATTGATTTTATTTTTTGTAATTACTGATGTGAGAAAATTTAATGATTAACCTGCCTTTGTCCACAGAGAAACCTAAACCTGATTTTTTTTTTTTAAGTTCTAGTTTAAAGTGAAAAACTGTCTTAATTTGGAGGGACAGAATATGGAAAGAAAATTTGAACCAGATAAACTCAAAGATTAATTATTTCCATCACAAGGGTATTAAACATTGTGCACTGTTTGTTAAAGAACTGACAAATTTGTCCCAACTTCTTTCTGTTTGCATTGTCCTCACACATCTAGTGTCAAATTAAGGATTTATGTACCTTTTCATCTCAACCAATATATGTTTATCCATTTTTTTCTGCTGATTTTTGTAATGAGTAATCAATATTTTTATAGTACAAGCATAAAACTATTAGCTCTTACAGAAACACCATTTCAGCACACACATGAATTCACAGTAGAACAAGATTAATAGTTTTACTTTGAAAAGTATATACAATATAAACTGATGCTCTTCACAACAGAATTTAGTGAAGGTTGAGGGAATGAATGGGTAATTTTTATTTTTGGTGCTATAAAGTTTTCAGATCTGTGATCAAGTGAACATGGCAATAAATACATATAAGAAAGAACTTTGATAAAACAGAATAAATTTTAAATTTTGAAGAACATGTAATCACAAAACCAAGTAATTCTTTAAAGACATACTCTAACAGTCCATTTTACCATTAAACATAGAAAAAAAAATACATAGATTAGAGAGGCAAAGACTCCATCTGCAGCAATCAAAATGTCAACAAATGTGCTTTAATGTCATCTTGTATGTGAAGCCCTTTCATTCTCTGAAGTGCTCTCTGCTCTGTCTTCTTATACTCTGTCATGGAAAACTCTTTGGATCTTTTAATCACAAAGTCCTTTCTGACCTTCTGGCTATGCTTTTGCTTTTTTTTCTCTGCAAAAATGTCCTTTCTCCTAGGTTCTCTTGCTGGCTCATCCTCCTCTTCAGGACCCAGTTAAAATACTATCCTTTTAGAGAATCCTATTTTCTTTTTTTTCTTTTAGTTTCTTTTGAATTTACATTTAATCACTGTATATCTTTACAGTGTACAACATGGTTTTTCCCAGTATGAATATAGTGCATATTAGTCAAGTCAAAGACATAACCATATACATTACCATGAACAGATAACTTTTCATTTCTGTGTCTGTTAAATGTGTTGTTTTCCCCTGATCTCCTCCCTTTCACCACTTATTATCCACTCCCCCATTACTCCCATACTGTCTCTAGTATCTACTATTGTTCTCCCTGCTATTATTATACCTTCCAGTCTTTCAATTTCTGCTATAGAGCACAGACATTTGGTATCTATTGAGTAGGGACATACAATACCTCTCTTTCATAGTCTGGTTTGTTTTGCTTAGCATTAAACCTTCCATATTTGTCACTTTGTATCAAATGTCAGGATTTCCTTGCTTTATATGGCTTAGTAGTATTTCATAGAGTACATGATGCACCCTAATTTCTAACTACCTACTCTAACATTACACCACTCTCCACTATCTGTAGTTACTCTCCACTATGCCCTCATTATTTAAGATGTATATATAGCACTTATTAATGTGAATGTATTTTATTTGTTGACTTGTTTATTTGCTCCCACCAACTAAAGTAAATTCATGTTTACTAGTTATCACATGGGGAATAAGGGCCTCATGTGAACAAACTTCTTGTTCACTGACTTATTCCAAACTTAGATAGCTTAAATTGGCATAAAGTAGTGAGTCAATCAATATTAGTTAAAATGTAAATGAAGACTGATTACACAGCTGCCTCTTAATTAGCAAAGAATGAATCAGGCAAGGTGCCCAAAAGCATTTCTCTTAATTGCTCCTAAAACTTACTCATTTAATTCCCCCACAACTCTACAAATATATTTTACTATTCAAATATTACCCTTTCCCCCACTGGACCTGGAGGACCAACTGTTCCTGGGTCACCTCGGGGACCTCTTTTGCCTTCTTCTCCAGGTGGGCCTATTGGACCCTGAATACCATGTGGCCCCTATTAGAAACAGACAGATGGTTACCAAAAAAGAGCCTTTTAACAGATGAGATATAGTCATAAGATTCAGTTAAAGTCATCACAAATTATATATCAAGTATATTATATAAACTATTTTCATCCCAAGATGTTATAACTCATTATTTTAAGCATGTGAGCATTTTAAGCTGTATAATGTTATACTTCTCTTATAGAAAAAAAAAAAAAGGAAGCCTTACTGGTTCCCCTTTTGGGCCAGCTTCTCCTTTAAAACCTGGAACTCCTGGATCACCCTAAAATACAGATATCAACAGTTTTAATAACCAGAACACTTAGCCAGTCAAATGAGCTAAATAAATCACAATAAATAGGCCTTAAAAATACTCTGCAACTGAGTTTGTATTAAATCTGTATTACCATATAATTTTTAAATTTTGCAAGTCTTGTAGGATATGTATGATTTTTATGAAGTCATTTGAACTAATGAGGTTGTTTTATTCAGAATATGGTAAAATCAAATATGATATATCAGTAACACTCATGTTTTAATAAATCTGTCACCAGCACTTAACCAAGGATTTTATCAGCATGACTACATTGCTTGGAGAAGAATCTAAAAATACTGCTTAAAGTATTAGTGGATAAGAAAGTTTTTATTTTTATATATCAAGCTAAAAGTCATTTCTTATGCACTAATATTTTACTCAATAAATGATTTCTATGAGATAAAAAAACTCATTCAGGTATGAGCAATATTTTAAAATTACTCTACAGAATAACTATCATGAAATAAGCAGTTCAATCTATTTTTAGCCAAATCTTCATTATAAAAATTTATTACATCAGCAGGTGGTATAGTGGTTTAGGCACTGAACTCCCACATGGTCAACCATTGTTCAAATTCTGGATCTGTTGGTTTGTTTTCTCGCTTTACCCTTTTTTTTCTTTCTTTCTCTCTTTCTTTCTCTCTTTCTTTCTCTCTCTCTCTCTCTCTCTCTCTCTCTCTCTCTCTCTTTTTCTGGTTAAATTAATAATGTTAGTAATAATAGAGAAAATAATTCTTTTAAAAATTATTAAGCCTTAATATCTCCTTACACTGGCTTAAAACATATTTTGATCAACTGGACCAGGGAGAAATGTTCACATATTGAAATGTTCATTTCGTAAGCTAAATGATGCGATTGAATGTATAAGAAAATGTAAATAAAGAAATAGATAAAATTAATAAAAATATATTTTCATATGGGCCATTCCCTTGGCCTAGTGTTTAAAGAGCCTGTACCCTACATGGCAGACTGCATTTAGAGTGTCCAACCCAAGCATCTTGAGACACAAGCCCGGCATATGTGTGCCCAAAATCCCAAAAGGAGAGGAAATGGAGAAGAGGTTGCAGCATAACCATGCCTCGTGAGGATTGCTTTCTCACTTTCTGTCTCTCTCTTTCTGGCAAGCACACATGACCACTGGCAAATTTTTAAAAATTCTATAACATTTATTATTCAATTATTCATAAAATTCTGTTAAGTGGACCATAAAGGTATGGCCTTATTATTTTAATAAAAGTGCACTAAAATTTAACCTACTATAATAATGTTCCACTTAAGATTTAAGCATTTAAAGTATACATTAACATTTAGCTTTAACTTTAAAAAGATTCCTATCTTAATTTCTCTCATTTGGATACGTTACATTATGTTTTATTGATTACATTATATATTACTTCTCTTGGCACCTTTAGTTGGTTTCAAATGACATTACCGGTTGGCCTCGAATTCCCTGAGGTCCAGTGCTACCCTGAGGTCCAGGAGATCCAGGAGGCCCTGCTGAGCCAGGAGGACCAGAGGTACCCTGCGAGCCCTGTCAGATAGCAAGAGTGACATGATAAGAAGATACCTCAGTAGGAGTTTAGGAGCAATGTCCGAAGGACCATGCACATTTAAACTCTGCATGGCATAAATGCAACTACTCACCGTTGGGCCTTTGGCACCAGGCGTACCATCAGTTCCTATTGCGCCCTAAAAGTACATTAAATGTTTATGAAATATTAAGATAAATCTAAACACATATGGGGTGGTATTCAACTGTCCACCCAGCTCCAAAAGGAAGCAGAAAAAGTAGAATGATAAAAAGAAAACAGAACACTATCATAAAAATCATTTTTAAGATTGATTCCTTTTTTTCCACAAAATAAGCAAAACTTGCAGAGTTGACAAGAGAAACGTGTGTGGGTTTTTTTATGGGTTTAAATACTTATTCGGAATTCAAAGAGAATACATACAAGGGATCTTCAGAAAGTTCCTGAAAAAATGTATATTATAAGAAAACTATGCATGGATTTTAATATTGTTTACTTATTTTTTACAAAAACAAACTTTTGCTTTAATTCTACCCTTCCATAAATAATTTAAAATTTCCTCATATATGAAAATTGGTTGGACTTTTTTCTGATGTTATAAAAAATGGCCTGCTTTTCTAGGGTAGTTCTTAGATATGCTTGGAACTTACAGGAAGGCCTTGAGAGCCAACTGGACCTGGAGGCCCAGTTTCACCTCTTTGTCCCTGAGGACCTTCAGGGCCTCGTGCCCCAGTAGGACCAGCTTCTCCCTAAAGGGTACAAAGAAATATGTTAGTTTAAGATAATATAAGAAGTGGTGTAGTACAAAGCTGATGGCTTAGTTGGAGTTTTACAATTTGAACCCAAATATCTAAAGAGGACAACAGCACAAAAGGGTTTATCAGGCATGTGTGCCTAGCCTGGATTAAAGAGTGGACTCACTTTTCCATCCCTTCTTATGTAATGATGCTGGAGGTCTCTACACTAGAAATATTGCTCCATATTCCTATCTCTAGTTATTTATCCACTAAGGTCAGTTCAGGTTCCTCCTCCTCCTGCTCTGAATCTCCACAAAATCTGGATTTTTTTACATCGATTATATTATTTCACTGATTACAGAGCTAATATTAAACATAACTTTAATTTTTTAATATTTAATATTTAACATAATCTAGATTCATAATGAAAAATTAGAAAGAATCCTCACCAGGCACCAAGTTACTCAGAGAATAAGAGTAGATATTCTTATTCCTGCATAGTTTGTTTTTAATATGGTTTTAGTTAAGAATTCAGGTATTTCAAACTACTTCTGTGAAAATAATGTTCAGTTATTTTATACAAAAGTACATTCAGACTCTTAAAACATCACAAAGTGGACAAAAGAAGAAATTTGAACAGATACACTGTGCTTGCAGGAATTGTTCCTCTTCAGTAGGAACCAAGACATGTCAAGTCAGAATGAAGGCACAATATGATTAAAGCTTGGAGGTTCTCAGAGGACAAATTAAATTATGTCCTAATATCTCCAGAATAACCTGGTATCGGCTAAATGTGTGGCAGATTTCAGAAAATAGTCTGTAAAATGTGTGAGACTCATTTTAAGAAGGTTATTTAGAATTTCGTCTTACAGTACAAGAAATTGAATCTTTGCTATAAAAGCAACATAGAAATCACATTTCAAAATATAAGATATGATTTAATTTTAAAAATTAAATTTAATTGACCTGAAGAAAACCAATTATTCAATGAAGTAGAAAACATTTTAGACTGCACATATCTAATGAACTTGACAACTTTAGGCAATATAAAAATAAAATCCATCATTGTTTTTAAAAAGCACTTCTTTCGATAAAAATTAAAGAATATTGAAAAATGATGTACAAAGAGTCAGAAACACCTAAAAAAAATTCTCAACATCCTTTATCATAAGAAAGATGCAAACCCAAACCACAATGAGATACCACCTAACCCCAGTCAGAAATGGCTAAGATTAAAAAAAAATTTTTTTTTAATGATAAGTGCTGGTGAGGCTGTAGTGAAAAGAGAACTCTCCTACACTATTGACGGGAATTTAAACTAGTACAGCCACTGTGGAGAACAATATAGGGGTTTCTCAAAAACCTACAAATAGAACTACCTTATGATTCAGCAATTCTACTCCCAGGTGTCTACCCAAAGGATAGGAATACACTTAGTTGGAAACGTACTTGCACATCCATGTTGATTGCGGCATTATTCACAATTGCTAAGACATGGAACCAATCCAAATGTTCATATACAAATGAATGGACTGAAAAAGTGTGGCACATATATACTATGAAATACTACTCAGCCTTAAAAAATGAGACCCTGGCAATTGATAGAAAGTAGACAAATAAGGAAGATTTACTGTTAAATGAAGCAAGCCAGACTATGAAAGAGAGGCACTGTATAACTTAATACATATCAAATGTCTTCACTCTATGGCAGAAACTGAAATATTGCAAGATATAAAAGCATGGCGAACTGAAGATACCAGAGACAATGTAGGAGGATGGGAAATGGGGGAGGGTGAGAGAAAGGGAATCAATGGGAAAAAGAAAGAAGCAAACATTTAAGGAACACAAAAATGGAAAATTATCTGTTGATGATGTATATGATAATATCTTTAACTGGACTAATATACAGTGTATTTATGCTGGGAAAATTCAATTTACAAGGTGTAATGATATACAGTGTTTGAATGTATTAAAAATAATTTTAAAAATAGAAAAAAGATGAGCTGGCCTAATAACTAGTGATTAAGGAAGACAGATCCCGCATGATCAACCACAGTTTGCGTGCCAGCGCAACGGCTTGGAAAACATGCCAGGCACATGTGCATATCTGCCCAATATCCCAACAGAATAGAAAAATGTAGGAGAAGAATGTGGTGTGACCATGCCCTATTTAAGTGTGCTTCTTTTCTCTCTCTCTTTCTCTCTCTCTCTCACAAGTACACATACTCTCTATCAACTAAAAATATTTTTTAAAAAAGAGAGAGAGAGACTGCATGAAGAGCAGGACAAAGTGATTAGAGTAACTAATAATTACCTTTATTTCAACCCAAAAGAAGTAATCCATAAGCAAATAAAAAATAAAATGCTGTGTGTAAGCAATGATTCAATTAAATAATTTTCATATGTAATATGTAAGTTTGCCTCATGTAACATTTGGGTCATACAAGGGATCTTCAAAAATTTCATGGAAAAATGTGTTTATAAAAACAAAACAAAACAAAAAAACTGTATATGAATTTGAAAAAAATTGCACCAAAATAAACTTACACTTTAATTCCATTTCTTCATGAAAGTTTTAAGTCCTGTACTTATACTAAAACTTCATGTTTTGTTTATCTGAAATTCAAACTTAACTTGGTTCCTAGACTTTACCTAAGCATATTCTGTAGCTATGGGGATCTTAGTAGGACATAGAAAACTAAAATTCAAAGCCTTAGGAGGTTCATCGATATCAAGTTGGAATAGGTTATAGAGTAGTGTATGATAGCAGAATAGAAAATGTCATTGACAATTCAATAAATACTACCCCAGGAAAAAAGTGAGTTGAAGGAATATCAAATGTACATAACATACTGTAATGTTAAAGTAGAAGATGACTATAAAACCCAGCAAAACCCTAGCTTATGGAAGAATATGGAAGATTTACTGTTGATTGAAGCAAGCCGGGCTATGAAGGAGAGACATTGTATGTCCCCACTTAATATATACCGAGAGTTTGCACTCTATGACTGAAACTGATTGACTAAAAGTTGTACCAACACAAGAGATGGGTGTGAGTGCCAGATGTGTTGTGCGTGGAGGAGTGGGGCCTAATGAAAGACATTTGGAGGAGGTATATGGAGGCAGAGCATTGACAGGATGGGGAGGTGTGGTGTTATCACTTGAAGATATTTTGATCAACTGGACTGGGGAGAAATGTTCACATATAGAAATGTTCACTTTGTAAGCTAAATAATACGATTGAATGTATTTAAAAAATAAATTAAATAATTAAATAAATAAATAATTTTTAAAATATAGAAGATGATATGCTTATATCCTTGATTCAATTACTACATACTGTATATGTGCTTTTAAAAACCATACAATATTCCATAAATATACTCAATGATTTTATTTAAACCAGAAATTACAATAAAAATAAACAAAAATATCAATAAAACATTAAATCCTTTCATTGAAATGTAATAAATTGGATGTAGAAGTGTATCTTTCTCCAGAGAGTATGGCCAAAGTTTACAGGTTATAACAGAATCCTAGCCAAAAACAAAGATTCAGTAATTTTATAGTGAGATGGTAGGAGGTGAGGCCCAGGAAAAAATTTCTGAGAGAAATAGTTTCACTTGATGTTTAATTTTTATGAAGTATTTTTCAATAGTCAACAATCATTACTGCTAAAACCCAAAAGGAAAGGAAAATATGTAGAGTGAACAGTTGTATAAATGGTTATTACTAGTGAAGTCTTGACTAGATGCCACTGCAAGAGCTTAATTCCCTTCTATTAATTCATAGTCCTAGGCTTTGAGTGTTACCTCATTTGCCTTGCAAGAGCTCAATTGGGAGAACATGAACTCACTCAAAGAGGGAAGAGATTTTGCATGTTTTGATTGTGTTTTGATCACACAAAGAGGAAAGAGATTCTGCATGTTTTGATCATGTTGCGTAGAGCAGTGGGGGCCAGATTCCCTTGCTAATAAGTTGAGAATGTCAAGGAGCAGATTGGATTCACAGAGGAACCAAATAAGGTCCCACCCTCTAAGTTCACAGTGAGTTCTCAGTGAAAGAAGGCATTGATTTGTGACATGACTGAAGATATTATTTTAAAGTAGTCTCTTTCCTGTGGCATGGAGTTTAAAGAGAGCCTGAGGGATAATTTGACTTAATGAAGCTCACATTTCAGGGCATTTCAAGAGGTTAGTTAGAAGCAGTTTTCATTTTTTTATTGGTTTCTAGATTTAAATCCAATTTGATTAGCCCTACTAGTAAGCATGGACCTATATTAAGGCTATGCTCTGCATTACGCATTATGCTAAGGATTTACATGTATTATCTCATTCAATCCTTGACAAAATCCCATGAGAAAACAAGGCAATACAGAGATAACACTCAAAGCCTACGACTGAATTAACAGAAGGAGATTCTGCTCTTACAGTGGCATCAAGTCAAGACTTCACTAGCAATAACAGTTTATTATACAGTAGAATCCTGTGAGTAAATCTCTTCTACAGAATGAAGAAAACTATTGCCAAAGAGAAACTGGGTGAGAGAGGTAATCAATTATGTTGTGTTGCTTAAAATGTGATAACTATTCTGAATGATTCACTGATTTGGCTAACTTAATCTTAATATCCTACTACTATAATTTTTGAATTTATCCCAAAGTACTGAAAGAAATAACAAATTGTGAGTCACTACAAATGTAAGTCATCCCAGCAGAGGACTTTAATCCATTCCCACGTGGAGAGCCAAATGTCCTCTCTGCCCATTCCTTTAATGGCTATGTAAAATGGAGGTGGGGAAGACAAATTGATGACTAGCCCTGTGAGAGAAAACAGCCTTTCCACATCTAATTCATCTCATTTATTTTAATAGCCTATTGTTTAAAACAATCTGCTGTTCATTACTCTCAGGCATTCTATCCAGCAACCAATTCTAATTCAGTTTAAAGTTATTATTCCTAGTGGCTATTTCCATTGTCTGATATTAGTGTCCCAACACAATAAATCATTTGATATTAACAACTGTATGATTATAAGTAATTTTTCTTTAATTACATATTATATATAAATTTTTTTTCAGTTTCTTTTTCCTCTATCATACTGGACAATGAATATAGGTTCTTTCCTTAGTTAAGATTAACTTCCATATTCATCCATTAATGAAATGTCCGCCTTCACTTTGGGACACATGTGATCAAATAGGGTTGAATATATTAACATCTTACCTTCATTCCAGGATTTCCTGGAAAACCAGGGGAGCCAGCTAGCCCAAGAGGACCCTATAAAAAGAAACCAGAAAAGTAATCAGACTTGTATTTAATTAATATCTTATTAGGCAATTTTTATTCTTTGACAACATTCACATTTTGACCCATAATATAGGAATAATTTTCTTTGTACTTTAAAATAAAAAGACCACAATGTAATTTTATAACAAATACCTACCAACATTTATCTAAAGTAGAGTTAAAAGACATGTCCAATAATATTGAACATGATCAATGGTTTTCCCAATTGTAGCATACATGATTAAAACAGTGACAAATGAAAAAACTATTTGAAACAATTGCCTCTTGAGAGATGTACTTTGTGCTAATCAAGTAATAAAGATAATTTTTAGAAGATTATGTTTTGTACCAAAACCTAGCACTTCATTCTATAAAAATGATTTTTAAGAATCATCCAGATAATTTGGAGTATTTTTTTTTTGAGAGGTTTTTGCTATAGGGCACGTGCGCTCGCCAGACAGAGAGAGACAGAGAGACAGAAAGCAAGAAATCACCTCCCAGGGGAGATGGCCACGCCGCAATCCCTTCTCCTCCAGTCTCCTCTTGAGATCCTGGGCACACACGCACACACGCCTGGCATGAGTTCCATGCCACCGGGTCTGGGACGCGAACCACGGTCGACTATGTGGGAGTCCAGCGACATAGACATTATGCTAACTGCTGGTCCCATTTTTTTTTCTTTTTTTTAGGCTCACATTAGGATCACTATCCAAATGAAGAAGACATTCTGTTCTAGAATAGGTTCAAAGAATGAATTTTAATTCCATCAGTTTTGAATGGATATAATAAAAGCCCTTTCAAAACTTAATGATTTTCTCATCCTATATCTTGGTTTTTTTTTTTCTTATGAATAACAGGGGTGAAAAGATCCTTGGGACAAATTTTTTCATGCTTATAGTTCGTGTCTACTTTTGACATATGGGAAAAACTAAAAGCTTTAAATATCTTTATACTCCTTTGATATTGGCCCATGTTGTTTATGAATATTCTCTACATCTCTTTCTTTTTCTTGTAATACTTTCTTTCCCTGTTCCTTTATTGGTCCAATTTATGGAGCTTGACTCAGTTTTGTTTTTTTCAACAAGACACCATTGTTCCATGGACTATTTAGTTAGGAGCATTTATAGTAAAAATTTTATGTTCAATTGCTACAAAATTCTTATGAGAAAATGCAGCAATGGAAAACACTTAATGAAAAAACATTCGTGTACTTATAAAACCCTTCTTTTGGTTTAGTGCAATGATTATTGACCTGGATAACCCTGTAGAGTCACCTGTAGAGCTTTAAAAAAATACAGATTTCTTTGTCCACTGTTATAATTCAGTTAATTTGGGCACTAATTTCTCTTTAAAGTCCCCCAGTAATTCTAATGTACAGCTGAAGCTGAAAATCACTATTTTCTTAAGTAACAATGGCATTACATATTGCCTACACTATTAGTATGCACATTTTATTAGTAGTCTTAATCATATATGAAACAATTTCATCTTGATGTCATTATATCTTCTTTTTGAAAATCAAGGCATCCCTATCAATGTTGCTTAATTTGAAGGAGAAAGCGCATATATGCACCAATTGCTTTATAGTTCATAAGATAATCTTATATTTTAGGCTATTTTTAAAAATGACTTTAGTTTTGTCTTCTTGTTTATTATTTGTCTTTCTTGTTTACAGGTATCCTTAACAAAATAAACATAGAGACTTACATCCATGCCACTGTTACAACTGCAATCTACCTCATCCCCACAGGTCCCTGAGGATTCTGTTATGCTCTAAGTACTTTAGCAGTGAGTAGCAATTAAAGCTATACATATTGGAGAACTATGGCAAGCAAGGAAGAGAGACAAAAGGTGCATAGTGTGTAAGAAATTTGCCAAGTTACAAAATTTTACCTTTGCTTATAATTTATTATCAATAGCTTAATAAATGTTCAGATTTTCAATTGTTTTTTTTGAGAGCTTTTTGCTATGGGGCGTATGTGCTCACCAGAAAGACAGAGAGAGGCAGAGAGATAGAAAGTGAGAAATTACCCTCCCAGGGGGAATGGCCATGCCGCAATCCCTTCTCCATTCTCCTCTTGGGATCTTGGGCATGTACGCACATACACCCAGTGTGAATTTAAGCCACCGGGTCTGGGACTCAAACTGCAGTCAGCTACATGGGAGTTCAGCGGCATAGCCATTATGCTAACTGCTTGTCCCAGATTTTCAATTTTTAAATGCAAGTTAAAGTTCCAAAATTACAGAGGGTAACGTGAAATAGTGCAAGACTGAGCAAAATACAATAGCATTATCGATACTAGGCATTAGAAGCAGTGGACAAAATACTGGCACACCCTGGGACCTCATTTCTCACTCCATGTTGCTTACACTCCTGTAGCTTTACCCACTGCCTATGTGTTAACAATTCACAAGTTTACATTTGCAGTTTAAACCTCTGTCTTGAGCTCCATTCTCACATATCCACTCACAAAGTTGAACTTATTACTTCTCACACTAAGCCCAAACCAGTAAACAATAGCTTGTTCCTTTTTCCACATTTCCAATTTCAGATGTATTACATCATCCACCAAAAATCTTTAAATCAATAAATTATTGAGCCATGGCCATTAGAATTTCTTAGCTCATTTCTTTGCTGCCTGCTTCTTCTAGCACTGTAACAACTTTATTTCACATCTCTATAATTTCTATTTTGAGATTATGCCAATGGCATTCAACCTGAACCTTCCATCATCATCTTATCTTCCACATTACCAGCAGATGTTTCTGGTTACGATGCTCCTAAATGTAAAGTTCCATTATGCGTGCTATCATCAATTACTATAAGTAAAAGATAAATCCTTTAACATGATAAACATAACCCTTTATGATCTTGTGCCTGCCCCCAAATCCAATTTAATCCCTCCAGCATTTCTCAGAGTTTACCATGTTTTTTCATCTCTTCATCATGTGAACCATGCTATACTCTTGGCCATTTTATATACTTATGTTTCAAGATTTGGCTTGAAAGTTACTAATTTTTTAAGTCTTCTTTTATAACCTTCTTCCACTGTAGGCTTAGATACTTCATTCTCCTTGTCTCTATACTTCAGGTTGTATTCTATATTACAGCAGTTAACAAAAGTATTATGCAACAATATTAATTAATATATCCCTGTCCCTTGATAGTGCAGTTTTCAAAACAAGTACTTCGTCTCTATCATCTTTTTATTCCAAGTATCTGAAACAAAGTGGATGATCTGTGAATGTTTATGAAAGTACCAATGGAAGAATGAAGGAAAAATGAAAGAATGAATACAGAAGTAATACAACTCACCATTGGCCCAGGTTTTCCAGGCATGCCATGTGCACCTCGTTGTCCCTAATTAGAAGAAAAAAAAAAAAACATAATAGGATAAGATTATAGGATAAGTATTTCTGTAGAAACTACCACTTACTTGCTCTAAAACACCTTCTATGCTGAAAATTGAAGAATATATTTTAAAGTTAACTGATAACTGTTACTGAGGTCATAGCAATAAAAATACACATTTATAGAAAGTTGATATAGTAATAAGCACATATATTCTATAGCCATAAGAAATAAAAAAATCAAGATTGATAAAACTGATTAAAATATGAATCTGGGGCCAGCAGGTGACAGTGGTTGAGGTGCTGGACTCCCACAGAGTCAGTTGTGGTTTGAGTCCCAGACCAAGCAACTTAAAACTCATTCCATGTAAGTGTGCATGTGTGCCCAAAATCCTGAGAGGAAAATGGATAGAATGAATTGTTGTGTGGCCATCCTCCCCATGGTTGATTTCTTGCTGTCTCTCTGGTGAACACACACTCTCTGTAGCAAAAATCTCTCTCAAAAAATCATATGTATATGATTCTGTTGGGCCAGGCCCACAGTGCAACAGTTAAGGTGATTTGAATCCCAGCTCTGGTGTCCTTAAAAACATATGTATGCATGTGTACCCCAAATCCTTATAGAATAGAGAAATGGAGAAAAGGATTGTGGTAATGTGACCACACCCCATTAGCAGGTGCTTCCTCTTTTACTCTCTTTCTCTCTCTTGCAAGTGCATTTGTCCTCTGGCAATAAAATAAAATATTCTTTTTACTTTAATGTATCACCTATCATATGAGCTCGAAGACAGAAAAACTTCAACTCTGCAGCATTCTTAACAGCAAAATTGACTCAGGTAGAATGTAGTTCTTGTTAAAAAATATATATAAGCAAAAGATAAGTAAAACATATGCAGAAATTAAGTTGTAGTGAATTCTATTGGTGTCACCCAGATCCCTTGTAATATTCATTCTAAAGTATTCAGTTCTGTCAGCTGGAAGTGTCTACTACTGATAATTCACACATGAGACTCTTTCAGGAACTGCCCTAAGCAAAAGGGAGTTAGCTCTCCCAAGATTGTGCCCCTTCACTGATCAATGCAAGGATAGGAAAGAGTAATCCCTATTCAAGATAAATCTAGAAAGCCACCCCAAATCTACAGTTCTGTGGAACTGACTGTTGCAATTGCAACATGGTTCAATTTCTCCCCTGACAAACCCTACTTCTTTTATTCATTCCTTCACAAGTGTAACTTCTAAGGAACCCTTGCCAGTACATTTCCTATATATAAATTTCTGCTTTGAGACGGTCTCTTATGAAATCCAAACTAAAGCATTACAGCCAGAAGTGGTACGAGAAAGTAATTCAATGGAATTTTTAAGTTCCTACTGGTGGTTGGTGATAGAGTATAGAACACCCTTGGCATGCTGCGGTGGTGCAGTAGTAATTATTATCCCCAAGGGTGAACTGAGATAGAGCACATCTAGGGAAATGTGTCTGAATACAATACCTCAGGCATTTGATAAGGTTTAGGAAATTGCAACATAAAGTTGATGAAATTGTATGAGTCTTGTTGAGTGTATCTATCAGAGAAAGACATTGAAAGACTGATGGTGATTAATCACCAATGTAAGGCTTCTTTGTAACATTTTTAAAATTTTTATTTTCAAAAAGCAAAACTTACATATCTTGAGGCCAGCAGGTGGCATGGCGGTTAAGGTGCTGGATTCTCACATGGCTAACCATGGTTCAAGTCCCAGAACTGGCAGCTTGCTTTCTCACTTTCCCTCTTTCTCTCTCTCTCTCTCTCATGAGCACACATACCCTATAAACATTTTTTAAGTAATAATAATAAAATTAAATAATTATTTAAAAGTTACAGATTTTTTTAAACAGATAACTTTACATTTTGTTGTCTGTTAAATGTTTCTTCCCTTTGCCA